ATCCCCTTTCGGTTCCCTCCTTGCTCTCCTGCGTTCTGATCTCTTAGAACTGCAGAGGACGCAGCTCAGCTGTAGAGCACTTGACTACCACGCTCTAAAGCTCTCGGTTCCACCCCGAGTCCTGCAAAAAAAGAGAACATTTTCAAACATTTCTCTTTGCAGCCCACTGTAAGGTGTTTTCTTTTTGTCTACACCCTCCGACAAAACTTACTATTTTACACTGCAACTTGGTTGACTTGCACATGCATGAGCATGGGTTGGGTGGTACTGGTAATGAACCCTGGAGCCTTCCCACCTTGTTTGTTTGGTTTTTGTTTTGTTTTTGAGACGAGGGTCTTACTAAATTGCCCAGACCAGGCTCAATCTTGCAACCCTCCTGCCTGAGCCTCCCAGGATGCTGAGATTACAGGCATGCACCACCAGCCCAGTTAACTTTATTTCTTTAAAAATAATAATAATAGCTGGGCGTGGTGGTGCATTACTCCTGTAATCCCAGCACTGCGAAGGCTGAGGCAGGATCGTTATGAGTTTGACACCAGCCTGGGCTACAAAGTGAGCTCAAGTTCAGCTTGAACTGCATAGTGAGACCCTGTCTCAAAAAGACTAATAATAATATTATTATTATTATTATTAGGTTGTGCACACATGTAAACACAACACTTGAGAGGCTCAGGCAGGAAGATTGCTATAAATTCAAAGCCAGCATGGACTACATAAACAAGTTCAAGGCCAGCCTGGGCTACATAGCCAGACTCTGTCTCAAACAAAAACAAGAACAAAAACAAAGACAGACAGAAAGAAAGAAAGAAAGAAAGAAAGAAAGAAAGAAAGAAAGAAAGAAAAAAGAAAGAAAAAGAAAGAACTGACAAATACTGAGACTGGCTTGGTCCTCTGTGTAAAAATCCTTCACCTGAATGGATCTTACTCATTCCTTAAGCATCCATCAAAGCGAGCTTCCCTCCCTGAGCTGCCTGCCTGAATTTGAATCCTGGAGAGCCTAACAAGTAAATTAATACATGAGCAGACTCAAAACAGTGAGAGGCAAATAGCAATACTTCTTCTGATCCCCAAAGCTAGATATTATACAACTATTTATGCGATTGTGCTGTCTCGCCACACTTCCTATTACATCCATGAAGCCACAGATTTCGGTTAGTTTCTGATTGTCTTTATGTTCTAGCCCCTCACTTAGCATGACCCCAACAGGCACATTTATTGTGATTACTGTGTCTATGAATATGGAAGCCGGGTGTCCCTTCAACACGCCAATCGCGCTTTCTTTGGAGACAGATAACAGATGAAAGACAGACAGACAGACAGAGAAAGGGGTAGAATTGCTTGGTCATGTGGTAGTTGTATTCTTTAACTTTCTGAAACACTTCCAGGTTATTCTCTGACACACGAGTAACTCAGAGAACTACTTAATGGGTCATAAAAGAATTGGCCAGAAGGAAGAAAACTTGAAGCTTCCAGAGAGTAAACATCTGTGTCACTGAGCCTAGAAAGTGGCAAGACCACTGGCACACAATAATTTGGGCTTTAACAGAAAAAATTTACTTATTCATTCCCACAGCTGGCGCTGCTACACCTTCCCCACTCACTGAGAATGGGAGGGACAGCAAACCATTAGCATCTCCCAGGCTCAACATGCAATCCCAGCCAGAGATGGTGGCACACACCTGTAATCCCAGCACTCAGGAGGCTGAGGCAGGAGGGTCACTGTGAGTATGAGGCCAGCCTGGGCTACAGAGTGACTTTGGCCAGTCTGAAGGGCATAGCAAAACCCTGTCTCAAAAAGACAAAAAGGAAAAAAAAGTGCAATATCAAGGGGATCCTAGCCTGACCCCAAGCCATCGAAGTTCTCTCCAGGGGTCCCTGAAAGCAGCAAGAGCCTTCTGTGTCTCTGGAGGAGCTCTAGTCTTGGCTTGGCCTTGTACGTCCGGCTCTTGACTCCCGGTGCAGGCCGTTCAGCTCTGCAGCTCACTTTAGCTTCCTGCTAAGCACTTCCACGGGACTTTACAGTGGGCTCCAGGCCTTTGAGTTAGGACCGAATCCTTTGACTGTCCGGCAAATGGTCCATTTGCACTCTTCTGCACCTGACTGCATGAGGCCATTGAAAGCACAGACATTCTATTACTCTGGTGAATGCTGATACGGGTTTCCGATTTTCCCATCACGTTGTATTAAAAATGTTACCTCTCCATGTATGTCTGCATCACTATTATCAAAAGTCAGTCAGCTATAGACATGTGGCTTTACTTCCAGGCTCTCTATTCTATTTCACCTCTGTGTATGTGTGTGAGTGTGTTTGTGTGTTTATCGCAATATCATACAGTAGTGATTACTGCAGCTTTTTGCTACTGTAATTTTGACAACTTTAAAACTTCATATAAGAACTAAGGAGTAATAAAATCCAAAATGTGTAAATTTTGTTGTAAAAAAGAGAGGGAGGGGAAAAAAAAAGAGCTCTAACGGATATAACAGCAAGTGTGTTTAGGGGTGTTAAATAGCTGACTGTATTAATGTTTTTGGATCATTGAACACAGCTGTTTGCAGTCTCTCTGTTTGAATGTCTACTTTGTATTCTTTGATACTGTGATTTGAGCAGCTATTTCCAAGATGATAATATGTAATCTATTAACAGGTGATTTCTTACTGTTATGTTTTTTTTGTAGTTCTGTATTATGTGTAACCTTACACTGCTTTGTTTTGTTTTGTGTTTTTCTCTTTTTCCTCTTAAATAAAAAAAAAACTTCATGTACATGAATTTTTTAACATGTGCTTTTGTTAAGTCAGGTTCAGTGTGAAGCAACCTGGAAGAAAGGTTGAGCATACACACCCCCACCCTTACCTTGTGCCAGCAACATCCATTCTACCCTCCATTTCCTTAGCTTTCTTCACATGAGTGAGGTCATAATGGTATTTGTCTTTTTTTTTTTTTTAATTGGTACCGGGAATCGAACTCAGGACCACACACTTGCAAGACAGGCACTTATGCCGCTGAGCTAAATCCCCAGCCCCCACAAGAAAAAAATTTACCTGCTCAACAAAAGCAGGATACAGGTGTCAACCAAAAATTAATGTAAGATTCTGGCTAAACTGTTTCCAACAGGATGTCTTTTTGTGGTTCTCTGTTTAAAAGCTTTGTAATTTTCTAGGTTGTGGCCACTCAGTGAGACTCTGAAATGGGTCCATTCAAGTGGTCATTGAGCTCAGCTAATTAAATTCTAAATTTATCAATTTGGCTGCTTGGATTCCTATATTATTTATGAGCCCACTTAAGATAATAGACAGACAGACACAGATAAAATAGTAAAATTGTTTGGTCATGGTAGTTCTATTTTTGACTTTCTTAAAAACTCTCTGGTTATTTTCTATAAGCAATGTACTAATTTGCATTAACATTACCATTCTTTTTTGAGCTTGTTTTGTTTGGGTTTTGGTTTTAGGTTTGTTTGCTTTTGAGACAAGGTCTCCTTATGTAGCCCAGGCAGGCCTCAAACTCATGACAATCCTCCTGCCTCGGCCTCCCAAATGCTAGGATTACAGGGATTTGCCACCTCTCCCAGCCTGAACATAGTCATTCTAATAGGTGACAAATTATTTATTGAGAATGATGTTCAGAAACTACATGCATGATAGAGGATGATCCTAATGCATGATACAGGCTCTGAAAGGAAGGGAAAGAAGAAATATTGGGTATCGCACGAAATAAAGAGTTCGTGCGATAGTACAGTTCAGAATTTCCAAGAAAATTTCTGTAACACAAATGGTGTGGCTCTAGGCAAAGTAGCTCATGAGAGGAACCCCATCCCCTCACTGAGGAGGACCAGCATTAGTATCCAGCATGCTGTGCGCTGGCTGGGAGAGGCCCCTGGGAGTGTCTTGTGTTGGTACAAGGGTGAAATTGACCTAGCATGGTGAGATTGATCCAAAATGCCAGGAACTTGTACTCTTCTGCTTCCCATGGAAGACAGGTTGAACAGTGATTTTCATCCTCGTTTTTCCCTTAATTTTTTACTTTTGCATAATGAATTTGAGATCCATCACCACTGTTGCATGTTTCAACTGTTGTTCCTACTTATAGATGAGTAGTATCTAATTGCATGAATATATTACATGTTAATGTATTCTCTTATAGATGGACAATTGGGCTGCTTGTAATTCGGGCTTATTATAAATAACAGTTGTATTCTTGTGCAAATATTTTTGTGATCTCATATTTTCTTTTTTTTTTTTTTCTACCCCAATCACCAAGTAAAGATCTCGTATTTTCTAAACTCTTATTACCCAAGAAATTTCTGGGTAATGGGACAGATGTTTGAATAATGCTATAAAAAAATCACCAAATAGATTTCTAAAGTGGTTGTAAGGTTTTAACTCCTACCAGCAGTGTATGCGTGTTCTACTTGGCCTTGAACATTGGCTATTCTTGTTTTTCCTTCCTCCATCCTTCCTTCCTTTCTTCTTTCCTTTTGTCTTTTTCCCTTCCTTCCCTTTTTCTCTTTCTCTCGTGCTTTGGCTTGAGATAGGGTCTCGCTTTGTAGTTTAGGTTGGTCTTGAACTCACTATGTAACCCAAACTGGCCTCGAACTCACTGTGATCCTCTTGCTTCAGCCTACCGAGTACTGGGATTACAGTTTTGCACTTCTACCCTTGGCTTCTCTTGCTTTTTAATTTCCTTTTTTTTTTTTGGTACTGGGGATCAAACTCACGCCCTTGCGCTTGCCAGGCAGGCGCTTACGCCGCTGAGCTAAACCTCCAGCTCTTCCTTTTTAATTCCAGTCATTCCGGTGGATGTATACAGTCACCTTATCCTGGTTATGTACTGTAAACATGTACTAAGAAAAAATAAACACTGACATAGAAAAATAAATAAAAGCAACGTGAGCTGTAACAGACCGCGCAGGCTTCTTTACGTCACCGCGCAGGCATCTCACGTCACTACCCAGGCTCCGCCCACACCAGGCCACGCCCACCCGACAGTGACGCAGCCCGGCCGGGCGGCCGCGGAGGAAGCTGGTCCAAGATGGCGAGTGTGAGGTGTACCCTGCCGCGGCGGCTGGTGGGCCTGGCGTCCCTGCGGGCTGTAAGTGCCCCGCCGCGGCGGCCCCGCAGGCACCGTGAGGCCGGGTTCGGGGGCTTCGCCCGTGGCGGGCGCTTCCCGAGAGGCGAAGCCGAACGCTTTCTCTGTCCATAACTGGGGGAGTATTGAAGTTTCGGACCCTCCCTGTCTCTCTCAAATCCCTTGCCTAAGGAGGGGAAACTGAGGCCCGCTGAGCTGAAGCGATCTGTTCGGATCCTGAGAACTGGGACGACATCCTGGATATTCTGATTTTCTGTCCAAGGCTCTTAACCAGTCACCCTAGCTCCTTTCTTCCTCTCATTGAGCCTCGGAGCACTCCAGCGCTTCGTTAGTGAAAAACAAAAACTCCCAGTGCCCCAGGGAAAAAGCAAGGTCACCCCCCCTCCTGCCTCCACGTCCAGCTTCCTATGTTTTAGGGACTCAGGGCGAGTTAGATGGCGCGGGTCCAGGCTGTGATGCCCTTCACATTGCACTTTGAGTCTGTTCGATCCTGATGTTTTGTCCTCTCATGCTCAGTGAATGCAGCGAAGGTGTAGCAGAGCCAGGTGTAAGGAAAGGGTTAAATAAATCGAGTTGGTTAAATCGTGTGGCAATGTGGGCCGCTTTCTAGGCTCAGTGGCACAGGTTTTCACTCTGTGAAGCCTCGGTTTTTTTCACCTGTAAAGCGGGTATTAACTTACAAGAGAAAACGTAGGTCAAGCACTTGGCATTACCCTGGCTCTTAATAAACCCATCATTCCGTGATAAGAGTTTGAAAGGTGTTGTATCAGTGGGAAAAATTACTGTCCTGGCAGTGGGTTCCTCACCGAAGTACGTTTTAATGTTTTTAGGCTCCGCACCTCCACCAGCTGCTTGTGGGTAAAATGAAAATAGTGACTCCAGCAGTGTCACTTTCTAGCTGTGTGATTTTTGGGTAATCTTTCATCCTTCCTGCTGTTATACAGTGGAAGGCCCTACCAGGAGGCATCAGCAGCTGTGGCCTGGCACTGATGTTAGCCATTCTTCCCTGTTGATGTAGATAACACCAGAGCACAGGCAGAACACTGGCAGACAGGAGGTGTACTTGGAGGAGCTCCTCTCTGGGTGGAATTTCACAGAAAGAAGAAACTGGGCTTTTAAGCAGAAGACTGGCAGGAACTGTGGTAAACAGGCAACCAGGATGGGTGGCTCAGGAGTTAGGCACGTGCTCTTGAGCCACACTGCCATATGACCTTGGGAAAGTTTATCTCTATGCCTCAGATTTCTCAAAACTACATGGAGATGATAGTCCTATCTAAATGGCTGAGGGGTGAGATGGGTTAACATGAAAAGATCCCATATAACTCTGCCAGATAAATGATTTATTGTATGTAAAGATTTCTCATCGGAGCATGGTGGTAGCACTTATAATCCTAGCTCTTGGGAGGCTGAGGCAAGAGTTCGAGGCCAGCCTGAGCTACACAGTGAGCTCAAGGCAAAGCGAGACCTGTCTTAAAAACAAAAAACCAGATATAGGCAAAGGAGTGGAATTGAGTTTATCTTGTTCTCCAGCAGAAATTTAGTAGCAGGTTTTGCATTCTTTCAACAAAATTAAATTATTTGTTGAAACCTATTATGTAGTAGAACCTTGGAAACAGAGCAGTTCATGAAAGAGGGCCTGTGTCATGACACTGAAGTGTCGCTGGAATGCTCTAGAATAATTGTCCAGAAGAGGCGAACATCTCTGTCTGTGGGAGATGTAGGGACCTTCCTGCTCAGCCTGTTGGTCTCATGCAGTTCAGTAGCTTGTCACCTTAGTCTGTAGGCAGCTGGCTCATAGAGTATATTTCCTTTCTTAAATGTCCAGGAGGTTTGGGTTCTTTGGCAGATTATACAGCATATTTCCTTGCCCTATTTCAGTATGTTTATCCAGATGCAATTGTGAAATTATGTTAAGGAGAGGAAAGAAGCCCTGTGGTTTTTACCCATGTTGCTTGGTGGTGAGGAGGGGTAGATATGGGGCAAACTATATAAAGGAGAATCGAAGCTTTTGAAAATTTTTTTGTAATTGTCCTTCAGCAGCTGGGGGTACCATCTCCTCTCAGACTCGTTCTCTGTCTTGGCCTCAGGCTAGGATTAGATCAGAGCTTTCCTGTATATCCGTAACCACACTGTCAAGTCCTCCCACTCTCAGTGACTGTCCTCCTCTGGGACAGCCAGGCCTTCGCATTGTTTGTGGTTTCAGTCACTTTAAAGACCGCCTCCTTTGTGCCAGGCACAGTGCTGAGCAGTCGGGAGGAAGTGTTTGTGGAGACTGTCAAGGTTTCTAACAGAGCTTCTATGCTGCTGGAGGCAGCCTCAAGTATTTACAGAGCTCTGGAGGAAGTTAACTGTTGTCCTGAAGCAGAAAATAATGGAGGTGAGGGGATAGCAGACTGGCCAGAGGAGGCCTCTGTGACAAGGACGAGAGGAGGACGTGAGCAGACCGGCGAGCAGCCCTGCTGCAGGACAGAAGGCCTGGGACGGACCCCGTGGATGCTGAGGCGCTAACGGGACAGTAGAGTGAGCTTGAGTTTCCCTGATGAGCTGGAGTCAGGCAGAGCCTTTAGACCCCAGCAGACAGGAAGAGGCTGACTCAGGCTACGACTTAGCAGGATGGGTGCGTGGGGCACCTCTTATAGAGACGGAAAGGATGCAGTCAGGCGTTAGGAGAAATGAGGGTTCTTTTCTGGGCTTATTGGAGAGGTGCGCAGCGTCAGATGGCAGCCGGACGTGGGTCTGGATCTCAGATCCTGTTCTGAGAGTGTCTTGCTCATTCCTGTTCCCAGTGCAGTCTGCTTTTTGATCCTAAGGAGAGACCACTTGAGAATTAAACAGTAAGAATTATTGCTTCTTGTCTCAGTGTTAGTAGGGACGTATCCTGTCAGACTGGTAAATCGTGACAACCCCTTTCCCTTTTTGTTTCCTCTTTTAAATCAAAGGTCAGCACTTCATCTATGGGCGCTTTCCCAAAGCAAGTGAAAATTGTGGAAGTTGGTCCCCGAGATGGTCTGCAAAATGAAAAGGTAAAGATGGAAATCAGCCAACCAAAAAGGGGTGTCTCACACATCTGCGTCGGTATTTCGGTGGGGAAATTGGATCGAATACGTTGGGGACTTCTCATAAAACAGAATATTATGAAGCTGTTAAGGGAAGAATACATAAAGTAACTCAAGCCTGTAAAATAGCAGCTGTTTTATACTTTAAGAAACCAAAAGGTTTATAGGTGTGGAAGCATTTACCTGGAAAACAGTAAAACTACAGAGTTCTATGGGACTTTCTGTGAAACTTCTGATTTCTCCTGTGACCAAGGAACCAAACTTTTATTCATGTATAAGTTTAACCAGTTGAAATGTAAATAACCACACGTGGCCAGCAACAAATTTTATGTAGCATGTTACTGAGATGTTAATGGTGTTATTTCTGGGAAGTTCTAAGAGTAGTTTTCTTTTGGTATATTTTTCTGAAATAATCATGTTTTTGTTGTTGTTGTTTTAGTAAGAACAATTTCTTTAGGTGCGGGGTGATGGTGGTGGTGGCACACATCTGTAATCCAGCACTTGGGAGTGAGACAGGATTGTCAGGGGTTTAAGGCCAGTCTGAACTACATAGCAAGACCCACCCACCCCCATTCATTAATTAATTTAAAACCTTTTTCTCTTTTTTTTTCTTTAAAGCATGACCTCCTTGGCTTTATAGTGAGTGCTTTTCGGAAACAGTAGTCTGAAGGCTCCATAGGGCAGAGTCAAGTTTACGATTATTGCTTTGTCCCCCACACCTAACATTATGCCCAAACATGGAAGGCTTTCAGAAGCTATCTGTAGCTGAGCATGGTGGCGCATTCCTGTAATCCCAGTACCGTGGGAGGCTGAGGCAAGGGGGTTATAAGTCTGAGCCCAGCCTAGACAATTTAGTGATTTGTGAGACCCTGTCTCAAAAAAAAAAAATTTTTTTAAAGGAGGGCCTAAGGGCACAGCTCAAAGCAAAGGCCCTGGGTTCAATCCCCAGTATCATCAAAAAGAAAAGAAAAGAAAAAGTGTTAAATAAACAGAAAACATTCAATTATCCTTGAAAGGATAATTTGAGTCTGTAAGTTTAAAATCAGCCTGGGCAACGTACCCTGTCTCAAAACCAAAAACCATTATTTGTGAGTGGATTAAATTAAATCAGCAAGAGAGAAATTAGAAGGGTCAAGTGAGAGAGCCTGGTAAGAAAAATCTATTTTTCAAGGATTTTGACCAATCCTTGAAAAAGTGCTAACCCTTGGCTCTGAGGAAATATAGGAGGCTTTTACTTTTTTTTTTTTTTTTTTTCCACGTCAGATGGGTAATGTGCCGAGGTCGTAACAAGGTTCAAAGGAGGCACATGTCATGCATGGAGCATGAACACCCAATCATCCCGCTTATAACCTGAGGATCAAGAGGCTTTTACTTTATTTTGGTTTTTGAGGAGGGGATTTCTCACTATGTAGTTTATTCTGGCCTTGAATTCATAGCAGTCCTCCTGCCTCAGCCTTGAGTGCCGGGAGTATAGGCATGTGCCAATACACTTGGCCCAGAAAGCTTTTAAACAGGAAAATGACACAGTGGAGGCTGTGGTCTTGGAAGATTCCCATGTAGGGTGATTTATTGGGTGAGACCGTGCCGTACATCCATGACATAGTGCTTGTAGATTTGGAAAGAGGAATCACAGAATTGGGTGGGCGACCAGGAGTGGGATGGGGGAGAAGGAAGCTTTAGGCTGAGCGCTTGTGGACAAAGTCTTGTGCAGTCGGGAACCAGAAAAGGGAGGACCAGAGGGTGTGAGTCATCTGTGCTCAATTTGTTTATGACAGGGCCATAGCAGCACAGGTTTAGTTAAGGAGAAGTCTGGATGGTGGAAAGTACCGTCTCCATGTAAATAGGAACTTCTGGGATGAGAGGCTGTCTCCCCTCAGAGGCGCTGTCTGTAGAACCTGAAGACAAGCCCTGTACCCCAGCCCACTGGCAGAGCTCATGTGGGAGTTTATGTTAGGTTTGAAAGTCAAGACAGAGGCGCTGGCTGCAGCGTAGGCTGGGAGCCAGCAGGCGCTGAGCTTTGACCCACCTTTTCCGGTGTTTCTCTCTACTGTAGAATGTTGTACCTACGCCAGTGAAAATCAAGCTGATAGACATGCTTTCGGAAGCAGGACTTCCTGTTATAGAAGCCACCAGCTTTGTGTCTCCCAAGTGGGTGCCCCAGGTGAGCCCCATATTCAGAGAGAGTCCTGTCCCAGATTCGAGGGTGAGAAGTCTTGCGTTTGCTCCTGGAGCCCGCGGAAGTTGGGAGCATAGATCCCCATGGCTTTGGCTTTGAGAGGTCTCAGGTGATTCCCAACACTGTTGCACCGAAAGGACGTGACTTGGTCAGGGGACTCGGGGTCAGTCTCAGCTGTGCCCTTGGGAAGGTCTCTCCAATTTGCAGACGGCCTGGCAGGTCTCTTCCGATTCCAAGACTCAAATCTCCATGCCTGTTGAGTAAAAGACATCCTGCTGCACAGGGCTGGGCACCTGGAGAAGAAAGATCCTAGGGGAAAATGGGCTTTGGGTATCGAAGAGGGTGGGGCAGTGCCTGGCTGACAACGCTTTCGGTAAATGGCAAATGGAGGTGTTCCCACTGGTGGCACGTCCGCAAAACTAAGAAAATTAAGCCATAGGGAGAGATGGGGATGTCACTCAAACCGAACGGCCTGCAGGCCACACAGTGTCACAGACAGTAAACACAAAGGGCAGGCATCTCAGCCCTGCAGAAGGCTGACTCCACAGGCCTGGGAGCAGAGAGAAGCGGTGGATGAAAGGGTTTTCTCTCACTTTGAGCGCTCTGCCTGCTTTGGCCTTGTGTCCTTTGGCTTCTAGATGGCTGACCACACTGAAGTCTTAAAGGGGATTCAAAAGTTTCCTGGCATCAACTACCCAGTCCTGACCCCAAATCTGAAAGGCTTCGAGGCAGCGGTAAGAGGACAGCTTGTTGGTGGGTCCCCCTGGGATGAGATTGATGGTGTTAGTCCCCATCTCTGTGGTTCCCTGTCCCGGGATGTCCATCAGACATCTTTATCGTCAGACCCTGGGTAGTCCCCGTCATTCACTGCTTTGTGAGCTTGACAGGTTCCCTAACTTCTCTGAGCCCCCATTCTTCCTGTAAACCAGGACTAATGATAGTACCTGATGTTGAGGTTTCAGAAAATAGTTTACACATAGTTTGCATAGCAAGAGCCTGACATAAGTGCTGAGTAAAAAAAAGTGGCTTTCAGGCTGGTGACAGTGGTGGCATTGGTGATTTCACTGGGAGATGTCACAGTTGTATTTTTGACATTCCTTCCCTGTCTTGGGGCTCTGGGGATGGATCCCAGGGCTTCACCTTGCTGGGCAAGTGCTCAACCGCCGAGCTACAGCCCCAGCCTTGGTTTACTCTTAGATATAGCTCACTGTATACTTCTAGATCTGCTGTGAGAGAGGGCTACAGACTGGGTCACTCAAAACAGTAAGAATCGATTCTCTCACATTCTGGGGGCCACAAGCCCAGAATCAGGGTTTCTATGCGATTGGTTCCTTCTGAGGGTGGGAGAGCAGCCGGCCTGCCACTCCCGGGTCCTGGCACCCTGGGGTTGGCAGCACATCACTCCTGGGATGTCCCTGTCTTCACATGGCCTTCTCTTCTCTCTGTGTGTCATCACACGGCCATCTTCTGAGGTCACCAGTTCTGCTGGATGAGGAGTCCACCCTCTTCCAGTGTGGCCACCTCTTACCTAATTACACATTGTGATGACCTTGTTTCTAGACAAGGCTACATTGCAAAGGCCTGGCACCTGGGACTTATGTATCTTCCAAGGGGCCACAAGCCAGCCTACAACGTTCCTGTACAATAACATTTACCATAAGAGGATACTTTGTCACAGTCTCAGTGCCCCAAGAAGTGCTGAAGGCGTTCCCCTGGGCGTTGGCAGGTGGCTGCTGGCGCCAAGGAAGTGAGCGTCTTCGGAGCTGCCTCAGAGCTGTTCACCCAGAAGAACATCAACTGCTCCATAGAGGAGAGCTTCCGGCGCATGGGCGGCGTCCTGGAGGCCGCACGGGCGGCCGGGATTCCCGTGCGGGGGTGAGTCAGGCCCGAGCGGCAGCCCTTCGGTGCCCTCCTGGAGGGGGCTCAGCTCTGACCCCAGCTGTCCTCCCCACCACAAGCTCCTTGTCCTGGCTGGGGGCAGGTAAACATGGTCAGAACACCTAGCAGCAGAGCTTTGTCTCGCACACCAGTGGCATCTGGCAGGACAGGACAGGAGGTGGAGGTGAGCTTAGTCCCAGCTTCTCTCCCCCGCTTGTCACATGTCCCTGAGGAGCTCCTCAGGCTGAGTCACCAGCTGCAAAGGCTCCAGGTATTACACATACAGTGCCTGATTGAAACCTCCATTTAGCCCAGAAAGGAGGGGTGCTCTCGGCCTCACCACCAGGAGTGGGGCTGGGCAGGGGGCTCACAAGCACACACCCCAGCTGGCAGGGCACACAGCATCCACCCGGCCAGCTGAGGTCTTTACAAGTCACGTCCGATCATTCCTGATAGAAACCCTGCAGCGGCTGGTTAAACCCTCCTCGCTGGCCTCCTCCCTGAACTACACCCGAGCCTCTTTTATTAGTTTGTTGTTGTTATTAACAGCGGTGGTGGTGGTGGAAGGGTGTTTTTGATTTTTTGAGTTAGTGTCTCAGAGGCTACCCTTGAGCATTCAGCAGGCCTCCTGCTTCAGCCTCCTGAGGGCTGGGATGACAGGCATGTGTCACCACACCTGGCTCACTTTTTATTTGAGACAGGGCTTCGCTAAATTGGCCTTGCTGGGCTCAAACCTGTGATCATCCTGCCTCGGCCTCCCAGAATGCTGGAATTACAGGCATGTACCACCATGCCCAGCTCAGACATTCTTCCTTCCCCGTGCTGGCGATCAGATTCAGTGCTTTGTGAATGATAAGTGAAGCGTTGCACGCTGCCACTGAGCTATATCCTCAGCTGACTTCAGTCGTTTTAACGTGGTTTACAGGACCCTGCATGATTCAGTCCCTGCCAGTTGCCGCAGCTCTGTTTACAGCTGCATTCCGACCTTCACGTCCGTGTGTCACTCTTGAGTCCGGCTGGAATTCCTTTCCATTTGTCACGTGCCTGCTGTCTCTCGCCCTGGGCCTCTGTGCTTGCTTTTTATAGACCCAGGACCTGCTCAGCCTACCTCAGGCCCGCCCAGGACCTCTGTGGGTATGGGTTCCTCTGAGAAGTGTTCCCTGGCCCTGAGCACAGTTGGTGCACTTCTTCTGGGGGCTCAGAGTCTCCTGTGTCGGGAACGTAGCATTTAGCTGCCGGTTAAGTCTTTCCTGCCCCCAGCTGTACTCGGCACAAGCGCAGGCCCCTGCTTCTGCTCTCTGGCACTGCGGAGCGTGGAGCAGGGGCTCAGGACAGTGACGGTCATCTGAGCACTGGCCCAGCCTCTCTGGCCCCTGCGCCTATTTTTCCTGTGCAGGCGCACACTCGTGCCCTGTCTCTGGCTCTTCCTCTCCTCCTCCTCGCTCCTCTCGGGCCCCTATGGGTATCCCCACTACTCCCCACCCAGCACCAGGGCTGGCTGGCTGAGAAGCCCGAGGCACCAATGTTGTTCGTCCTGTGCTCCCACAGGTATGTCTCCTGTGTGCTCGGATGCCCCTACGAAGGGAAGATCTCCCCAGCTAAAGTAGCAGAGGTGGGTGCAGCAGGGCACAGTGTGGCTGTCCCCACCTGGCAGGCGACATCCTGAGGGGCCTCGCCCAACGGCCCAAGGTTCCCGGTAGTAGCGGGGACAGCACTCTTTTCTCTGAACAGTGAATGCCAACGAGAACCCAGGGCCAGAATTGAGTTTGAAATCAGGAGCTTCTATCATTTTGCCCTCAGAACTTCCGCAAATGTGTTATTCTCCCATTTTACAGTTGAGGAAACTGAACAACAGGTTGTAAATGATAAAGCCTCAGACCCCACTTGCCTCTCTATAAAGCTCACTTGTTGCCCAGTATCATGTGGTATCCAGATAAAAGAAGTGATCACAGGGCCTACTGGGTGTGGTGCACACCTGTAATCCCGGCACTCTGGAGGCTGAGGCAGGAGGATCACCACAAGATTGAGGCCAGCATTGGCAGCTTAGTGACTTGGCAAGATTCTGTCTCCAAATAAGAAAAGGTCTGGGGATGTAGCTCGGTATAAATGCCCTGGGTTCAACCAAGAACAAAAACAAAACAGAAGATGGGATTATAAATAAAAGATGGGAGGGGCCTCAGGAGTGTGGCTCAGGGGTGAAGTACTTGGAAATGCAGGGCTTGGGCCAAGGGTCTGCTCATGGCCAGCTCTGCTTCCCGGGGGCATGAGGCTTCATTCCCACTAGAGCTGTTGAGAGCCTGAGCCCGGCAGGAGTCCAGTGCCTCAGATGGGGTGACCAGCAGGGCAGGGGATCCCTACTCCAAGCCTCTGGGCTTCTCCATGTACCTGTTGCTTCCCTAGGTCGCCAAGAAGTTGTACTCGATGGGCTGCTACGAGATCTCCCTGGGGGACACAATCGGTGTGGGCACCCCGGGGCTCATGAAGGACATGCTGTCGGCTGTCATGCGTGACGTACCCGTGGCCGCCCTGGCTGTCCACTGCCATGACACCTACGGCCAAGCCCTGGCCAACACGCTGGTGGCTCTGCAGGTAACTAAAGGCACTCGCCCTCTCTCCCAAAGGGCGTGGGATGGTTGCGTCCCACACGTCCATTCACCCAATTGCTGATGTCAGTGTGCCAGGGCGAGGCCAGCAGTAGTGGATAAAGACCTGGTGACCCTGTCACACCCATGAGACTGTCAAGGTGACAGGGCAGACCTGAGGAACTCGGGATGGGGGCCGTGCCGACAGCAGTGGGGAGAGGAAGGGGTGTCACAGGGCCTCCGAGAGGTGTTTGCTGTGTTCTAGGGACACGGGCAGGCCAGGGCGGCAGCAGTGTGACTGACAGGGCGGTGGGAGAGGCTGGAGGTAGAGCAGGCCAGGTCTGCTGGGGCCCCGTGGACTTTGGTGCTCTCCCAGGAGGCTGAGCGGCCAAGGGAGAGCACTGAGCAGAGGCAGCAAGGACACGCCCTGAAGGGTCCCTCTGACTGCCGAGCAGGACAGAGCGGAGAGAGGGTCGTAGCAGGTTGGAGGCTGCAGGGATCCAGGTGAAGGGTAGTTTGAGGAGACCCAGAAGATGCAGGCCTGGGGCGGGTCAGGGCCGCCTCTCTCAGGCTTCCTGGGGAGCCCTCAGGCAAGGCCAGTGGCTGTGTGCCTCTGGGCTGTGTGAACACGGCGGAGTCTGGGCCCAAGGTGGGTATTTAAAGACCACGAGGCCACCTGGGAGTGAGTGTAGATCAAGAATCCGTCTGAAGATTGTTTATCTTGGAGCTGGGTCTTGATACGTTGTCCTGCTGGGCTCAGGTGGCCCTTCTGTCTCAGCCTCCTGAGTAGCTGGGATGGCAGGCATTCACCGCCATGCCCACCTTGTCTTTGATTAAAACCAAACAAACAAAAACCTGGCTGTCAGGGGTCTGGCCAAGATCCCCAACTGTTTATTTGTATGAGGGGTACGGCACAAGGATGAAATAAGAAACAGAGACAAATTTAGGAATACGTGAAGGGGCCTGGGGGTCAATGCTTCGGAATGGACAGAGACCAGCTTTTACTTTTAATTGTTGGAGTTTTTTCTTCCCCATTTTGCTATGAGTTCAGCCTGTCCTTGAACTCACTGTGTAGCCTAGACTGACATCAAACTCATAGTGGCCCTCCTGCCTCAGCCTCCTGAGTGCTGGGATTACGGTGCGCACCCCCACTCTCACCTCAGCAGCCCGTGTCCCGGCCCCCAGCCGGCCACCCCTGCCCTCCTAGATGACGTTCACCTGCTTTCCTCCTGCTTCCGCCACCCCTGCCCCATCCTCACGCTTAGCTGCTTCGTCACAGGGAAAGCAGATGCCATCAGAAAAGACATCACCGTTACACCCCACTGTCAGTCAGCCTATGCCACAGACCGCCTGTCCTTTCCACGCTGGCCGGCACCGCATGCTCCTGGCCATAGCCATCTCCTGCACGCACCCAGGGCCACTCCGTGCACCACTGTCTGTTCTCTTGGCTCCGGGGCTTGTCGCGCCCTCTGCTGGACATTCTTGCACAAGCAGGCTGGGATTGAACCATCTTTCACGGCCCCTTATGGAGACCCCTCCAGTCTCCCATGTCTTTGGCCCCAGTCAAACTGAAATGCCTCTGAGGGACAGCCCCTACTCACTGTCTCTGCCGTTCTAACCTGAGCCCGTTCTGAACGGAGTTTTCTCCCCACAAAGCAGCCTGGGGTGCCTGCCTGCAACTCCATAAATGGGTCTGAAATGCCCCCCGTGGGATTGCGTTGGTGATCTGGAGGGGCCTCTCAGAGGAGGTGGCTTAATTTAGGCTGAGACCTTCGGGGTGAGGAGGGGTCCCCAAGACAGGAATGGAGGAAAGGTACTCCTGGCGGAGGAAATCATGAAGGGAAGCGAGACACTGTTCCGGGGGCCCAGGGAAGCCCTGGCTTCCAGTGGAACTTTCCCAACATGACTGCTGAGCCGCAGGAAAACCGCCTGGCATAGCGCTCCACTTGGGCACTGAGGAGGGAGCTTTGCAAGCACGGCCCCGCAGGCTCCGGGCCCTGCAGCACAGGGTCTCACCGTCCTTATGTTTCCAGATGGGAGTGAGTGTCGTGGACTCCTCTGTGGCTGGACTTGGAGGCTGTCCCTATGCGCAGGGTGCATCGGGCAACTTGGCCACTGAGGACCTGGTCTACATGCTGACCGGTTTGGGGATTCACACGGTAAGCCTGCCTGCCCCCTGCTGGTGGCAGCCTGAACTGACCAGGGCTCCGCCTGATGTCCAGGACAGAAGCTGATGAGCAGTTTGGGGCGGTTGGGTGATGGGGGTTAAAGGCGGAGGTGCCAGGGGACTATGGGCATTTTTTATCTTGTGTTCCTGAGGGAGAAGAATGTAATCGTACAAAGTCACCAAGCCACAAGAAGGCTGGGAACATAAAACAATGGCCAGAATGCAGTTTTGTGAGGCCCAGAGATTACGGAAAGAGCCCTGACCAAGATCATGTTTGTTTTGTTCTCTATAGGATGAAGGTAGTAGAATTAGCCACCATCACCCCCAGGTGATGGCTCAGCCAGTCTGTAAGGACCGTTAGTGGTGGCATAGAAGCCAAATAGCATCTGTGCTCTGAGATGCTGTGAAACAGTTTAGAACCCAATCCTGCCCTTCACAGGCTGACATCAGATTATTTGGTTTTTTGAGACAAGGTGTCATTATGTCATTCAGGCTGGCCTAGAACTCACTATAAAGCCCAGGCTGACCTCAAACTCAAGGGGATCTTCCTGCCTCAGCCTCCCAAATTCTGGGTTATGGGTGTGCACCACCATGCCTGGAGGAGTCAAAAAATGAAACTAATGATAGCACCAATGTCACAGGCTTTTGTGAGCATATTACACAACGGCAAGTGCAAGCTACTGTGAGCAAAGCTTATCTTCGCAGCTTATCTTCCAAGTTGGTATTTTTATTCTACCCTTGTGCCTCCCAGTGCTTACTTCTGTGTGCAGTTTTTGAAAGGCCAAGGCTTTGTGGCCCTGGCACAGAGGTGTCCATTCCTGTGATGCCACTCGTGGTGGTGGCATCATAAACCTGAAGGGGAATCAGAGGGATAAGTCAGATGGCAGACAGACATGGCCTCACAGGCAGCTGGTGTCCCATGGTCAGGAGCAAACCAGAGCCTGCTTGTTGTCCCCTTTCCTGGGTGTTGAGGGTGTGTCCTGACTGCATCTCTAATTTGTTTCTCCAAGGGTGTGAATCTCCAGAAGCTCCTGGAAGCTGGGGACTTCATCTGTCAAGTCCTAAACAGAAAAACCAGTTCCAAAGTGGCACAAGCTAGCTGTAAACTCTGAGCCCCTTGCCTGCCAGGAGCCTACCGATCGCCTGGGGATAGGGGTGCACGGGGTGATTCCTCCACAGGGCAATGGAAACAGATGAAACTGCAAGGAGAGGCACCTCTCAGCGCACTCTGCCAGGCTGTGCTGGCAAAGAGGAGAGAGCAGGGCCCCTCCCCGGCCAGCCCTGAGTGGGAGTGCCAGGCTCCCTCCGCTATGGGTCTGGTGACCCCTGCTTGGGATGATCCTTAAGTCTCACTCTGGCCAACCTCTGTACTGCCCCACACTGCTAGTGCTGGGCCATTACTGCTTTCTTAAGGCAAAGGTGTGGAGCAGATTGCTCAAAGCTGGCACTGAGCATCTGCCATCTGATGGTGAGGGCTGGGGTTCTGTGGTGGCCATGTGCCAAGACTAGTGTCAATGGAAAAACTACTCAACATGATTTGTGAAAATAGTTGATGTAATTAAAATTTAATTTTCCAATACATGGTTGTGCAAATGTGTGTGTTTATGAGGGCAAGAGGAATAAAATCTACAGCATTGCACTCTTGAGGAGAAAGAGTAAACTTTGAACTTGTTTATTATCTATGGATTTCTTTCCTGTTTCCCCACCTGAGCCCCACTGCAAGTTGGCTGTGCCTCTGTGCCCTGGCTATTGCACAAGCTCCCAAGGGCAGCAGCGCCCCTGCCCCTGCCCCCGCTTGGGCCGGCCCAGGGCGTCTGGAAGGTGGACACACCCGTGCACTTGTGCATTAGTGCAACTGTGCATTTACTGTCTCGCTGCACGGGTTTTCTCAGCATGCCACGATTTCATGGACATCACTTCCCTGCCATTTATCTGCTTTTAAGAAAACCACGTAGTACTGAGCTGCTGTTGGCAGTAGGCAGGGTGCAGACAACCCTTCCTCGCCTGTGGTTGCTGCAGTCTGACAGGCAGCTTTAAAGGTTCCTTGGTTTGCTTCCAAACTGAAAGTCCAGAACCTCGGCAGGGCGGCCTCCGCCGTTCCCTTCACTCTGTGCTGCCCCTGTTGCCTCCTTGTCATAGAGTCACACTTCCCGCGAGACCTGGAAGGCTCTGGCAGATCCTGGCGACTGGAAGACCTGCGGCTCGCAGCGGGGACGTGGTCTCAGGAAGGCGGACAGGAACCTTTCCGGGCTACCAGTCCTCTTTCCAGCAAGGTGCTGCATACTTCCGCCCTCCCCTAAAATGCGTTTGCAGTCCGCGTAAAACTACACAGGGCTTTTGTCCTCCCGGAGTCTCCGTAGTTACCACCACCCAAGCGACACGTCTCATTGGGGGCGTGGAAGGGGAGGGATGTGGGTGGGATGTCAGCTTTTAAAGGGGCCGCCGCGCGGGGCGCGGGAGGCGGCGCCACTGGAACCAGCGCAGGGTGCGCGATCCCCAGCAGGTTCGCGAGGAATGAAGGGTTGGGTGAGCTCGGGAGGGGCGGGTGGTCGGCGCGGAGAGAGAGACACCCAGGAGGGTCCGCGTTCCAGGCGGAGCCGCGCCAGGGCGGGCCCGCCCCTTCTGCTCCCGCTTCCCGCGGCGGAGGCGGCCCGGGTTCATTCATTGCGGGCCCAGAACTCCTAGCTCTGCGCCTACCGAGCCGGGGCCCAAAGTCCAGCACCGCCTACCGAGGCGGCCCGTAGCGCCCTCCCTTCTTTATACTGACTGGCGACAGCCACCCTTCCTACCTTGCGGGACCCCTTGATGACCTCTTTCCCAGGTCCGCAGAGTGCCTGCCGTTCGGCTGGGAGAGAGGGGGCGGGCGGCTTGGGCATTGTGGGCCAGAGTCCATTGGAAGCCTCGGCAAAGGGCTGAGCTGCCAACCTGGAGATGCAAATTCCACCCTGACCATTCTGGCTGTGCGGGCACAGGCAAATTAACCTCTGACCCTAGCTCTGCTACGGTAATGTGCCATTAATAACACCTGCCTATTCAAGTTGTGGGGCGACCTCAGGAAAATAACGCACAAGTGCTGGGTACAGAGCCTGGCACGCAGCGGGCACTTAGTCAAGTGGGTTGGAGCTGGATGTGCCCAGAAGGGATTCAGGCAGCCTGGAGGAAGACGGCAGCCGGCCAGGTCGCGGAATGAAAGGCTTCAGTGTCTGGAGCTTCCTCCCCGCTCTGCCCACTCCACCTAGTTTGTTCAAGGAGGAGATGCACACCTAGCAGTGGGGACCGGGCCAAGCCCACGTCTACACTGGCCCATCCACTGCTGCCTAGTTAGGCAGATTCCCTGTCATGAAGCCCAAAGTAAGCTGGCATGGGTTTAGCCAGAACCAGCCTGCTTGCCCTGGGGTGACGTGGGTTGGGGCCTGGCCCACTCCAGGATGCCCCTGAGCCTTGGAGCTGGGCTCCTGCCAGCAGAGGACCCACCCTTGCTTCCTGGTTCCTCCCAGCTGACCTTAGACGTAGCCCAGGACTCAGTTGACGCCTAGTGGTAGAGTTACCAGGGAGCTCTGCTTCTGAACAGAACCCTCCCTGGGATCCTGGAATCCCAATCCTGTGCCATGTCCCCTTATGCCCAGGACTGTCCAGTCCCCAGACACTAGGAAGGGAAATGTGGGTCCTTAGAATCAGAAAATGTAGCGCCTGTGTCTTACTGCAGCAGGCCTTTAGAATCACCTCGTGGCCCTCCTTGCCATATAAATGGTGTGTGCACCATTATTAGCTCCATCTACAGGGCTGGAAACTGCACCCCAAGAGTAGCTGATCCTCGAAGCCTAAGGCCAGAAAGTGCCAGTACTCAGGCTCATACCAGAGCTAACCAGAGCTGCTCTTAATAGGGACTCCCTGCTCCCTGCTTCCAGGGTGAGCTGGGGAGGTGGAGGTGGACTCGGGGTGGAGAGGGGCCCCAAGCCCACCCCCATAGCCACCTCGGCAACTCTGTCTGGGCCCAGGTGCCATGGCAGAGAAGGTGCTGGTGACTGGCGGGGCCGGCTACATCGGCAGCCACACGGTGCTAGAGCTGCTGGAGGCCGGCTACTCACCTGTGGTCATCGACAACTTCCACAATGCCATCCGTGGTGAGTGTGGGAGGCAGGGCTGCAGTTCCTGGAGGGGTGGAGGGAAACCTGGGCTTCCAGGACCCCGCTGGCTGTCTCGGTGCCCCATCAGGTAGGGGCTCTATGCCCGAGAGCTTGCGGCGGGTACAGGAGCTGACCGGCTGCTCTGTGGAGTTTGAGGAGATGGACATATTGGACCAGGTGGCCCTACAGTGTCTCTTCAAGAAGGTCAGTGCCGGCGGGTGGGCCTTTGCCAAGGGCAAGGCTGGCGAAGCCACTTCTCCCACTTTGCCCTGCAGCACAACTTTAAGGCTGTCATCCACTTCGCGGGGCTCAAGGCCGTGGGCGAGTCAGTGCAGAAGCCTCTGGATTATTACAGAGTTAACCTGACAGGGACCATCCAGCTCCTGGAGGTGAGAGGCCTGGGCCTGGCAGGGGCACACAGGCCAGCCACACGGCAGCAAAGTGCTCCACTGGAGTCGGGAGGGCCATGCAGTGTCACTCGGGACACATGGCTTTCTTCAGCTCCCGCCTCAGTTCTTCTTCTATATATGAGGTGCCCGTGACCGCAACACCGCTCCCCTGGCACAGCAAGGGTCAGGCCTGCTGCAAAGCCCAGGCCACCTGTGCTTCCCCTCCCCGGCCAGATCATGCGGGCCCATGGGGTGAAGAACCTGGTGTTCAGCAGCTCTGCCACCGTGTACGGGAACCCCCAGTACCTGCCCCTGGATGAGGCCCACCCCACGGGGGGCTGTACCAACCCCTATGGCAAGTCCAAGTTCTTCATTGAGGAGATGATTCAGGACCTGTGCCGCGCAGACAAGGTGAGGCCACTTTGAGGCTAAGAGGACCCCATGCACCCCGTCCTGCCTACCCCAAGAAGGAAGCTGGGGCTCGTAAGTCACAGTGACATGCCCCCACCGCACTGCCTGGGAGCTCGTTTCTGGAGAAACAGAGGACAGCATAGCAGGGGAGGTAGGGGGCCTGGACTCAGCAAGACACACTGTGCCCATACCCTGCCCCACCCCATGACCTGCCTGAGCCCCACAGGCCTGGAACGCAGTGCTGCTGCGGTACTTCAACCCCACGGGCGCTCATGCCTCGGGCTGCATCGGCGAGGACCCTCAGGGCGTCCCCAACAACCTCATGCCCTATGTCTCCCAGGTGGGTCAGAGGGGTGACCTTAGGGGACAGCTGGTGCCAGGGACTAGGAAAACTGACCTGACCTCTGCCCCTAGGTGGCAATTGGGCGACGGGAGGCCCTGAATGTCTTTGGCAATGACTATAACACAGAGGACGGCACAGGTGAGCCTAGGGCCAGGAGGACCCTGGAGTGAGGGCCCTGCAGAGAGGCAAAACCAACTCCCCGCCCAACCTCTGCCTCTGCAGGCGTCCGGGATTACATCCATGTCGTAGATCTGGCCAAGGGCCACATTGCAGCCTTGAGGAAGCTGAAGGAGCAGTGTGGCTGCCGGGTAGGAGTGGGGGCAGGGGGGATGCGGGGAGGCAAGTCCTCGGTAAATGGGGCCCAGCAGAGGGGTCTGCTCCAGCCGTTCCCACTAACCCTGTTCTCCCGGCAGATCTACAACCTGGGCACAGGCACAGGCTACTCGGTGCTGCAGATGGTCCAGGCCATGGAGAAGGCCTCGGGGAAGAAGGTAAGCCCTTCCTGCTCACCTACCCAGTGGAGGGCCCACCACTTCAGCCTGCCTTGCCCCTCTGCCCTGGTGTCTGCAGGTGACACCGCTCTGTCTTTGTGTTTCCTGAGGATCTGGCCAGCAGTGGGTAGGTGAGGCCCAGGGCCAGCTCAGCTAGGACTTAGCCACATCGCTTCTTGCAGATTCCGTACAAGGTGGTGGCTCGGCGGGAAGGCGACGTGGCTGCCTGTTATGCCAACCCCAGCCTGGCCCACAAGGAGCTTGGCTGGACAGCAGCCTTGGGGCTGGAGAGGATGTGTGAGTGCTGGCCTGACCTGGGGAGGTGGCTGTTCTCACGCCAGGGCCTGACACCCACCAATGTGTCACAGGTGAGGACCTATGGCGCTGGCAGGAGCAGAACCCATCAGGCTTCAGCGCACAGGCCTGAGGACCCTCCCTGGCCACAGCCCAGAGAGAGAAAGGGAAGCAACTGTCAGCTCTCCAGGTCTTGGCAGCACCCCAGGCTCTGGGGCCAAGCCTCCGCCGCCCTACCTCAAACCCCAGCCGGCCACACCGCCCACCAGGCAGGAGGCTAAGGGCTCACTGACCAGGAGCCAAGTGTCTTCCACGTATTTCCCACAGGGCACAGGAAGGCAGCAGGGCCACTAAGAGTGGGCGGGCAGCTGGGCCCTGGGACCACACCTCCCTGCCAGGCACTGAACGACACTGCTAACAGGGAACTTTTCAAAGTATTTAAAATAAAAAGTCTTCTTTTACCAGGGCAGATTCTCGCAGATAGTCATTCTGCACCCCACACATACAATCAGGCAGACCTGAGAGTTGAGGGAGTAACTTCTTTAATTTTATCGGAACCTAGGACACAACAAGAAAAACGCTCAAAACCACATGGAGACAGAAAACAAGACACAACCCCGCCCCGCTGCCTCCCTGGCCCTAGAGTGGGGACACAGTAGGGGTGAGAGAGCCAGGGGAGATCTTGAGCCTCAATCCAGCCTTGCAGGCTCCAGGCCTTCGAGAGAGGGTAAGGGGCAGCAGGGCCCAGCCCCAAGCAAGGGACGCTAAAGAAGGCCCTTGGAGGACTCCACCTCCTCACCCACATCCTGCTCAAAGGCAGGCAGGCCACAGCAGCAAGGGGCCCCAGGCCATGGACACATTCATGATTGAGAAGCAGCTGCAGCGAGGCTGGAGAGACACGTGATTATCGGGGCAGAATCACGGGGTGGGGGCCTGGAAGGGCCCCGAGGGCCAAACCCTGAGGTCGCAGAGGGGGCCCAAAGTGAGGCTAGTGAATGAGGTCCTGAGTGAGTGGGTCAGCGGCTGGCCCTTCTCCCGCTGCCAACAGCCCTCCAGTACTGCTGCCGGGCCGCCTCCGGGAAAGCGGGTAAGGAAGCAGCCCACCCTGCTGCAGACTGCCAGGTGGCCAAGGCCAGGAAGGCAGGCCTGGCCAGGTCTGCGCCGCCTGCCCCAGAGGCCTGGGGGAAGAGGATGGAGCGGAGAGGGGGACTGAGGGCTCAACCGGCTCAGATCCAAGATGGTGCCACACTTGCTTGCTGGGTCCCCTGTGAGTTGGGGAATCGTACTGGGGCCAGCAACTCTGCTTAGACCGGAGGCAGCAGCTTCTCAAGAAATTCTTTCACAGCTGCCATCTCCTGGGAGTGAGAGGAGATTGTGAGGCTGCTGGTTGGAGGAAGGAGGGAGAAGGGAAGGCGCAGAAGTTTCCCACTGACCTGGGGACAGGAGCTATGCATGACACCCGGGTATGTCTTGAACTGGACCTTGGCAGGTGTGACCACAGACCGCAGCTTTTCAGCTGTTAGGGCTCCAAACCGTACTGGCACCATGGGATCCAGCTCCCCATGGCACTGAAGGATGGCTAGGTCCTTGGCACTGCCGTTAGCTGCCTGTGGGCCAACAGGACTCAGAGGATAAAGCAATGCCAAGCCTCAAGGACATTCACAGGCAGGAGGGTATCTGAGGGGCACTGACCTGGGGGAAGTTCCGGTGCAGAGGCAGCCAACAGCTCAATGCCACGATGCCAGCCAGAGGGTGCGGGCAGGTGAGGGCTGTATACAGAGACAGGGCTCCACCCTGGAGGGAGGAGACCATAGGTCAAGAGGGTCCAGCTCACCCACACCTGGCCCATCCCCCTCGTGGGCCCCTCACCTGTGAAAATCCACCCAGGACGATTCGATTGGCAGGGATCCCATTCTTCATCTCGTGCTCAATCAGAGCCTTGACTGTGGGGAAGGACGTGACAGGGTAGGGGAAGCGTCTGGGACCACAAGGGAGCCAGGCAGCATGCCCAGTGCTCCCTACGGGATGGAAGCGGGTGCAGAGGAGGAGCTAGGACCTTACTGTTTTCTGCGGCCTTCTTGATGCCAGCCTCATCCTCTGGGGCATCTGGACTCAGTCCCATCAGGTCAAACCTGGATAGCACAGACAGCGGCAGCTGTTGGAAGGCCTAGGCCAGCCCTCCCCAGGCCCTCAGCACCCAGCTCCCCCAGCCCACACTCACCAGGAGGGCATCACCATCTTCATGTTGAGTGTCACAGGGATCCTCGGCCTGGGGAGGGACAGTCAGAAGGGCCCATCAGGCTCAGGAGAGAGCAGGAAACCACAGCACAGAGGCCCTTAGGAGCCCCTCCCAGCAGGCAGGGCCTATGTTTAAGGTGTTGCCAGGCAACCTGCCACGTGGGACAACAGACTGGTTGGGAGATCAGCTATCAATGCAGAAGCAAAGCCCAGGCGCTTGGGGTGACTGGTTCCAGCTCGGTGGGTGAGTACCTGGGGAAGGGGCACGGGAGCCTGTGGTCTAGGAGACCCTAGGGCTGGGGACTGTGCTGGACCCCACTCCTGGGGACTCCCTAAGAACTGAGGCTGAACTTGGCACTTCAGCCAGCTCTGGGATGCAGCTGACAGACAGAACAGGTCTGGGACCACAGAAGCACTCCCACCATTGCTGACCCCCCAACAGGACACCCCTCAGCCTCTCCCTCGCTGGGGTGACACTCACGCATGCGGACAGATGTACTTGACGTGAGGGAGCCGGATGGTGGAGAGGGCGTCAGCCCAGCTGTGCCTGTGGGAGGGAAGGGAGAGAAGGCTTCGGAGCAGGAAGGGGAAGGGGAAGGGGGAGGCAGCCTTGGTGGCTGGGCCCTGCCCCATCTCCCCAAGGAACCCCAACTCACCCCGTGTCTCCAAGTCCATGTAAAAAAATAACCTGGAGAAGGTCAGAAAAGGGAAAGAGGAGTAAGTTCCCCCTTTAGATCTTCAATTTCTGCCTGCCCTTCCCAACTCCCAAGGACCTGGGGTGAGCCGAGGTGACAGCCAACAGGTTATTAACCCCAAGCCTCTGGCTTCGGGCTACACCCTTCTCACCACACCACCTTCATGTTTCCCATGCCTCCTCCAGCCAGTTCCCCAGCCTTCCCCTGCAGTTCTGGCTGTACCTATATGCAAACCCATACCCAAGGGCTGCCAAGGTGAAAGAGGTCCCTTACCGCAGCCGTTTCCCGCTCAGCTCCAGACACGGTGGCAGCGTCGGTGAGCAGGGGCACAGACATGGTATTACCACACATACACTGCAGGGCTCCCTGCAGGCTGGGCCTGCACAAAGGAGGGGCTGCAGTCAGGAGTGAGGCCAGCAGGGGAAAGCCTCCTGGCTCCAGGCACCCACCTTGGCCACCACCAGCCAGTAGTGGGTTCTGGGGACTCAGAGAAAAGGCAAGCAAGAAGTCCAGGGACAGAGGAGTGTAAGTCTGCCTGCCTCCATGCCAGGGCTGAGAAGCACAGGTTAGGGTTAGGGTCCAGCACTCCTGTGTCTGGGTCCAGCTCATCCCCAGCCTGAGCTTGCAGGAGGTGGGCAGGGCAGGGCTTAGGGGCTGAGGTGAGAGAAGGCAGGGTGGTCCTTATTGCTCCCCCCATGGATGTTCCTCAGTGGTAACTGCCTCCTTCCTCCCTAGTCTCCAGTCACCTCTGCTGTGGAGCCCCTGTGTCCCCTCAGCCCCAACTCTGGGTCCTACTGGGAAACAAAGAGGAAAGAGATGCCAGGGAAATAAGCTTCCAGCCCCGCCACCCTATCTCCATCCTCCCTTCCTCCCACTCAGCCTGCACAGCATTTTCTGGCTCTAAAATCCCCAGAGCCCCTGGGGGCTGTCTATGTCCCCTGAAAACATAAGGACTTCCATCTGCCACCCCCTCAACTGGAGCTCCACGCCCCCCCGGAATGAGGCTACCTGCAGCTGCTGCCGCCACTGACTCCAAATGGGTCCCCAGCTGAACAGGTTTCTGGGACTCCCAAACACACAAAAGAATGTCAGGCAGGCTGGCCCCTCCCCGTCCTTAGCATCCTCCAAACTCCGGAAGCTTCCTCTACCTGCCACTAAGTGCCTAGCCTTTGCGGGGCGCCCAGCCCCTCCAGCCGGGTCCCACCTTGCAGCGCCCCCCCCCCGACGCCCTCCCCAGCAGGACACTCATAGGGCACCTCGTCACTGACCCTGGCGCGTCCCTCCCTAAGGGGAAGGCACCTCCCGCCCCAGGCCAGGATTCCCTTCCTTCTCCGCTCTGGGGACTGCTGCTTCCCACCCTGGAGCTCGCTCTTGGCGGGGCGTCGTACCCCCGACCTGGTGTCCCCTCCCCGCAGTGAGGCGCCGGGTCTCCCACTCCCCACGGGGAACTTCTGCCCGGCCCCAGGGCCAGCCCTCCGCACAGGTCGCGTTCGCCTCGCCGAGCCGGGACGCGCACCTGCACACAAGGGGGCTCTCTACGTTTTGACCCTGGGGAAGCCCCCGCCCCCAAGGGCATCCCCACTTCCGATCGCCAGGTCCCTCTCTAAGCCCAGGCGGCCCCTCGCCCGGCCCCGCTCCACTCCCCAAGTCCCCAGGACTGGACAGCGCCTTCGCACCTCGCTCCCCGCCCCCATTCTCCCGGCCGCGCCAACCCCCGCGGCTGGACCCCGCGGTTGCCACGACACCCCACTTGGTCCTGCTCTGGCCCGCCCCGTACCTCGCTCCCTGGGGCTTCCGCGACCGCTTGGGCAATTCTCTTTCTCCCACAGACACACACTCTTCCCCCTCGGCCGCCCCCGCCGGAACTTCCGTTCGAGTCCCGGGAACCCAGCCATCGCGCTGCCGGAAGTAGCCTGGCCGGCGGTACGGAACCCGGAAGCGGGCCGGGCTTCCCCGCTAGGAGCTGCCATGTTGCCGGCGACGGGACCACTCCCTGTCACTCGCCGCCCACCTGCAGCATCTGCTCAGGGCATCACCACCACCTGCACCATCTGGACCGGACATGACGCTTCTGCCACCAGCCAGGCGCCTCCCGGAGGAAACCTGTCAGGAAGGGAATGGCCTTACACTACTAGCGCGAAGTGTTTCACCTTAGCATCCCAATGAAGCATACATCATTGTGACTTTAGGAACCTACCAATGTTTTGGTTTGGCTTCTTAAAAAATACTGCACATGTTATTGTTTATATTTATATAGCAGTAAAATAATTACTATAGAACACAGTAACATTTCCATCATCTCAGCAGCTGTCAGCTTCTCATTTAGCAAAACTCAATAGACTATTTTAACTGTGGTCCTCATATTGTGCACTGGATCTTTCGACTTCTTCATACTGGCTGCTGGTTTTCATGCCTTATTCTGGAATCATGGATTGAATCATATACTTTAATCTTAGAAGACCTTAAATCACCTACTCCTCCATTTTTATTTTACACATGAGGAAACTGAGGCTCAGGGAAAGAAGGTAAATAAACCACCTCAAAATTACACTGTAATCTTTTCTTGACCTGCTTCCCGTGCTATAAAGTGGTGATAATAACCATCCTACTTCATAGCTTTGCTGTTAGGTTCAAATGGTGTGAACATGCTTTACACACTTAAATCACAGTGTGAAGCCTTAATCACTCTAAAAAGGACCCTGGGAAAACACTCTGGCATGGGCAGTGTTGTCTTAGCACTGCCTGTTGCAAGCAATGCCATGCAGGGTGCACAAAATGCCAGCCTCGAATGAGCCAAGAACAAAAGTGTTTTCTTTGGTTACCACTGAGTCATCTCTACCATTGGTAAAGCAGAAATAGGGCCCAGGTCTACAGCAAAGCCTAAGGAGCAAACTGAGTGGAAAGATCAAGTCCCTGAAAGAACATGTGAGGATCTGCAAACAGGAAATGAGTCACACTTGTCCCTCAGCAGCTGAAAACTCATTCTCCCAGCTTAACCTACCTAGTTTTTCCTTTCAACCAGAAGGAAACAGTACAAATCTGGAAGCTCAACAAAGCACTTTTCCCCAGGGCTACAAGTAGTTTGGTCTAGAGTACTGAACAGGTCACAGAGATGGAACCTAAAACACTAGGATTCTAGACAGAAAAAATGGCACATGGGATCAGAGCAAGCCAAGGATCCAGGATAGGATGTCAAAAGCCAAAGGATGAAAGTATTAGGAAACAACACAGCTGCATCCATTACCCACAGAACTCCTGCTGTCTGCTTATGGAAGAAACCATGTTCCTTTGAAAACACCACATTGCCTGGGACACCATGGCACATCCAGGAAATTCTTCAGAGCGTATCTTGCAATCCAGAGCCCCAGGCCCAGGGACTGTGACTCATACTTATCAAGAGCTAGTCTGCCGTGAGAGCTTTCTTTTCTCTTTTTTGTACCAAGGATCGAATTCATGACCTCAAACTTACAGGCAAGCACTTGAGCCACTGAGCTAAACCCTTGGTCCTGCTGTGAGATTCCTAACCTATTTGCCCTTGTCCAAATTAAAATGTAGTTGTTCTTTTAATCCTCAATAATATCCAGCTGAAGGGCTAGAAATGCAGCTCAATGATACAATGCTTGCTGAGCATGTGCAAGGCCCAGGATTCTATCCCCAGTATCACAAAAAACAAAGCTCCAGCTGGGCTTGGCTGTGACTGAGGAGTGGGTGTAGTGCTTACTACATCACAAACTGCACTTGCAGTCTAGTTGGTTTCAGGCGGGAGTTGTTTTTTGAGACAAAGTCGTGCTATATAGTTCAGACTAGCTCTGAACACGGAGTGATATGTCTCAAGGGCTGGGGTTACCAGTGTGCACTACCACACCCAGCCAGGCTACATTTTAAGAGTTTTGAGGCCCAACATTTGGGGTAGCAACTTGACAAGCTAGGAAAAGCGGCTGTATTCTTCAGCTAACAGAGTGAGGGCATCTATCTGAGGAATTCCCTCAAGATAATCAAGTTCAATAATGCCTCATATCAACTGTTTCTCCTTTAAGAAGTGCTAGAATACTGACCGTCTCAAATCTCCCTTTTCAAATTCTGTACTTAAATTCAAACTGCTAGCACTAGACATGGTGATGCACACTAGGGAAGCTGAGCAGAATTGTTGCAAGTTCAAGACCAGCCTGGGCTACAAGTTGAGCTCAAGGCCAGCCTGAACTGCAAAGTGAAACCCTGTGAAAAGACCAAAAAATAAAATCAAACTGCTCTACTGACTTTCAAACTTGAAATCCAAAGCATTTGGTCCACCTTTGGATGGAATGTGCTACTCATTCGCCTTCCTCATCTGCAGGTCTGACGTGCTCAGAATCTGTCACTCCAAGGCTGGGGATTTAGCTCAGCGGCATAAGCCTTACAAGCGTGTGGTTGTGAGTTTGATTCCCAGCACTGATTTAAATGTCACTCCACACCTAACTTTTCTTCATTAACTTACATCCTCTACAAAATGTGGGAGTGGTAGGGAGATTTTACCATATTGCACAGAAATAAGTTTTTGTTATTTTTGAGATAGGTTCTTGCTATGCAGTTCAGGCTGGCCTTGAACTCAAAATGTAGCCAAGCTGGCTTCAAACTCACAGTGATTCTCCTGCTTCATGCTCCCAAGTGTTGGGATTACAGGTGTACGCCACCTTGCCAGGCCCAGAAGTAAGTCTGAACTTTCCTAGAGCAACTGATCTAGTCTTAATTTAACAGGAGCACTTCATAAAATCTACTTAGAGCAAAAAATTTCAAAGTTTAATATAATACAATTTGCAGTAAAATGAGAGTTTCATCAATACTATCCAGAGCTCAAAAAACACAAACGTTAAGTCTGGCAAGGATTTATTAGGAAGCTTTTTAATCACAGTGAATAAATGCCATGAACAAAAGAACTCAAGAGACCTCCAAATTCTGGCACTGGGCTTACAACACAAGTTAGAAGCTAATAAACATTAAGGAGGTTCCCACAGGATCTTAACTAACTCTCAATCTTATACCAACCAGGATACCTGCAAACACAGAAATGATTCCCATGCTCTCCCCAGACTGCTTAGCTAGGCAGCAGGAAAGAAGACCTTTCCCCCCAAGCTATCACGGGTCATCAGAAGACTTCTGCCTTTCGGGCTCTAACCATGGAACACTTGTGCATGACAGACAACTCCAAGCGGGCAACTTGACAGAATGCTGAGCAATGACAGGGATGAGCAAGCAGGGACAAGTGTTTCTAGCTGGAGACCCTCCTAATGGCTCAAACACACAGTTCTGAGGCGTCAGGTTTCCTACACACCAGGTGTTTCCATTTTATAAGAAACAAGTCACGCAAAAATCCTGCCACAAAGCAAGACACGGGATTCCATGGCCACTCTGGCTGGAAAAGCAAGCATTATCCATGACTGACAGATGCCACCCAGCCTGAGACCCAATTCCTGTAGTGCCCTAGAGAATGACGATTGTCCCACAGCACACACCCCACTCTCTCAGTGGGGCAGTGTCTTCCACAGGCCAGGTTTCTGCAGCAAGACCCAAGGACAAGGCTTGGCAGAGGCTGTGGCAGCCAACTCTTGCTGGAGCCTCATCTCCTCCTTCCCAACAGGCAGTCGTACATCTTCACTGACACAGCACATCTGTGGGAGCCGGGCCAGCCTTAGGAAATGAAGTGTGTCTGTGGGGTAACCTGATGGACCCGGTGGTCAGCCGGGTTGGCCGACGCTTCGTAGTTGCAGATGGTCACCTCATGTCGCCGAAGCTACAAGAAAACAGAGGCTGGGTCAGCCAGCCAGAAAAAAAACTGTCTTTCCCAGAGTACACACAGAGTGACCTCAGACAGGTTCTTTACTAAAGTCATCTCTAACTGTCAACCTGACAAGCCTGTAAAGATTAGCAAAGATTCACTGAAACTAAGACATCCACTTCCCCACCCCTTTTCCTCCTTCTCTCTAATGAGGGCACCATGAGAATAGAAAGCGGTCTATGTTATTTATCATCTTATCTATGGTGCCACAACAAGAAAGATCACAATGTTTTGTTTTGTTTTTTGGTGCTGGGGATTAACCCAGGGCCTCATGTATGCTACACACATGCACTACCACTGAGCCACACCCTTGGTCCCTGATCATCTATAAGACAAAGAATCTGTAAATGAGAAACTGCACTGATTTGAATTACATAATAACCTAGTAAGAATGAACTACATAAAAACCTACTCTGTGAAGGGAGAATAGTTAATAGTGATGAAACCAACAGAAACTGCAGACAGCGGGGGGCTCTTCTTCCCCTTCCCCGGAGCACCTGCGATGCGGGTGCAGATCGCATCTCCCAGCCCGCCTTACCTCAGTCCATTCTCCTCTCAGGCCGATATAGAAGACCTTTGTGGTATCTGCTCCAAAGTTTTTTGAAATATGAATTGAGAGATGATAGACATTTGAAAAGCGGGAAATTCTTGAGCATGAAAAGAAGCGAGAGAAAACACAGATTACTGATCAACAAGCATCTCCCCACCAGCGAAAACAACTTTCAGCTCCAACTTGTGGCAAAACCCAAGCAAATGTCAGAAAACACTCGGGCTCCTCTCTGGACAAGCAATTAATTTTATGGACATTTGCTGAGTGTCTGCCAGATCCTATCCAAGGCAACAGAATAAACACTGCAAGGAACAGGAATGAGAAATGCTTTGTAACCAAGCAGGGATGCTAAAAAGTGTAGCACTGATCTCTCCCTTAGGAAAGATAAAACTCGAAAAGATAGGTAACATGTACCTTATAAGTCAAGTCTCTGAAGCCCATTAAGCAAAAAGGAATTCTGAAAACATGTTTCCTAACACCAACCTAGGACTCTCCCAGATCTGCAAAGCACTTAAAAGTTAACTTATCTGTGGCTTACACCAACTGTCTGCCAAAAATTGACCAAATCAAGGACCAAGCCTCCTCTGAGTTTTGACTCATTTCTAATGTAAGACAGCTAGAAACTGACCAACAATAAACCGAGAGTCACAGAGAGCAGAAGTCAGGTCCTGTGCTTACTTTGTAGCATACTCTAATTCTCCTGTGACATCCCGATTCAGACTAAAGGTCTGATCTGGCTCTCTTTCTGTATCATCAAACGACATCTGTGGAATGTTCTTGTACCTGGGAAAGGAAAGGGAGAAAAAAAAAATCAAGAAACGTGCATCCTCACATCTATCAGTTCTTCAAAACTTCTTACTGACTGCTCAACTGTCTTCAATTGCAGCAAAAGGAGATCAAATTCTGAGGTCAAGTTTTAGAGACAAAAAAAAAGTTTTAGAAATGCCATTTTAGGGGGCTGGGGATTTAGCTCAGTGGCATAAGTGCCTGCCTTGCAAGCAGGCAGTTATGAGTTCAATCCCTGGTACCGATTTAAAAAAAAATGCCATTTATATATAATATCTTTAGGCTAACAAGAAAAAAGCAAAGAGCTGGGTGTGGTGGGACACACGGGTAGTCCCAGCTACTTGAGAGGCTGTGGCAGGAGGAATGCTTGACTCTAGGAGTTCAGAGCTAGCCCTGGCAACATAGCAAGACCTCATCACTTAAAAAAGAAAAGTATATAAATACGTAAGAGTCAAGAACTGTCACATAACTCAGTGCTACCTCTTGAGTTAAAAGCATGAGAAGCAATATGAAGAGATGGCTCAAAGGAGGTCACATGGAGCAAATGCAAGGAGAAATAAGCAACTCAGCACATTCACAACAAGCTGAGGATGTGAAATAAAACAGCTTACTCATGGAAAAGGAAAATACATACTTTGGCAGCAACACATTAAACACAGTGAAAAAATAAGATCAGGTAACCCTACGCCCAAGCATTTTTTTGTGGTAAAAAAATTACCCGATATGGTCAGTCACCTTATGGCTCTAGATTATATGATCTGGGATTTCTGTTTTGAAAGAGGACAAAATCTACAAACCTGCAAAAGGCTGTAAAAGCAGAATTGCTAGTGAAGAAAATATTTGCTAAAGAAAGACTAAGAGCCAGGCATGATGGTGCACGCCTGTAACCCCATCATTCAGGAAGCTGAGGCAGGAGGATCGTTGCAAATTTGAGACCAGCCTGGGCTACAAAGTGAGCTCAAGGCCAGCCTGGACTGCACAGCAAGATGCTATCTCAAAAGGAAAAAGAGAAAAAGAAAGAAAAGTAAAAAGTCTATGGAGGGGAGAGAAACAAGGACATATAAAGGAACTAAGACTTACTGCACAGGTATAAGTTCCCTATGATGAAGTGAGCAATATGTGTACCAATAAACTTTAAAAAAAAAAAAAAAAAAAAGGCCTGGAGCTCCTGCCTGGCAAGCACAAGTTTGTGAATTTGATCCCCAGTACAAAAGAAAAGAAAAGTCTAAGGCACAGCGATCTCCATAATGCTCCAATTCTGGAGGACTAACCTACATAGCTCCACCACCACCCAGGTGTTTTACCAACACACGTGATAAAGGCCTAGCTTTTAACTGCAGCAAAATGCATGTAATTTAAGAAGGGGGATGTTCCCTTCAAAGTGTTTTTAAGAATGATGCACAGCAGGATAATAAGAGTGCACATTTATGAGCAGCATTACGAGAGGCAATGTAGCCCTGTAGTTAAAAGCAGTGTCTCGAACTACAGAATGGCAGAAAATATCTGCTTAGTGTTCATGTGACAAGGCATTACTATCCAGGATACGTAAGCAGCGATCAACACACACAATGAAAGTTTAAAAACTTTATTACAGCAAAAGACACACTGCTGTTAATACCCCTCATAACCTCCCGCTTCACTTCCGACACACTTATCCCATTATTCTTGCCACTTTCTGAAGCAATTCTGGAAGTCCTCTTCTGTGAGTTCCTTTAGGAGGTGTGAAAAAAATACGGTGATGCTGCTGAGTGCCATCTAACCGAAAGGCAGTTTGTAAAAGTATTACAGTGTGTGCTCATTCGTCCACCTTACTCACTAGATCTGGTATCCCATGATTCTTCCCCAGAAGTCAAACTGACTAGGAAGGGTAAATACTTTGAATCAGTGCAGAACATGAAGGCAGCCACAGGAGCACAATTAAAGCCAGAAGAAAGGACTTCCAGAATTGCTTCAGAAAATGGGAAGAACTATAGGGTAAGTCTGTTTCAGGTGAGGGGGAGTACTGTGTGTCTTTTACCGTAATACTTTTTTTTTTTGAGACAGGGTCTCACTACAGGCTGGCCTTGAACTTACTATGTAGCCCAGGCTAGGCTCATACCCACGGTGATCTTTCTGATTCAGTCTCCTAAATGCTAAGATTACTGGCATGCATTACCATGGCCAGTTTAAACACAAAACTACTTTTGATTATATAATACCTCATATACAGAGATCAAAACAACTTCAGTAAAGAGGGTATAGTGTCACATACCTATAAACCCAACGCTCAGGAGGTTGAGGTAGGATTGCCACAAATTTGAGGCCAGCCTGGTTTACATAACGAGTTCAAGGCCACATTGAACTACATCTTGAAATAAATAAGCAGGCAGGCAGGCAAAAGTCCAGACACATCTCAAAATATGCAAATGGGCAACAAGTATATGAAAAATGCTCACTATCACTATCATGGAAATGCATATCAAAATCACTTCACCCATTTTGGGGTAGTTATTATCAAAAAGATGAAAAAAATGCTATGATATAAAGAAAGAGAAGCTCTCATACACCATACACCAATTATGGAAAAATAATTTTAGACTGCTATGGAGGACTCTCAAAACATTAGATACAAAACTACCATATGATTCAAGAATTTCACTACTGAGCATACAGCCAAAGAAAAGGAAATCAGTATCTAGAGACATCTGCACTCATATGTTTTTATTTAGTGTAGCACTATTCACAAGCACCAAGATATGTAATCAACCCAGGTGTTCATAATGGATGAACATATATACTACACATTATTCAGCCATAAAAAGGATGAAATCCTGTCATGTGTGGCAACGGAGAACCTAAAGGATAATATGTGAAATGAAATGAACCAGGCACAGAAAGACAAATACATGTTCTCACTTATCTGGAGAATCTAAAAACACTGTTCTAACTGTGGTTCCCAGAGGCCGGGAGAAAGCTAAGGGATGAAAGGACGGACAGATGATATTTAATGGGTACAGACACAGATGGAGAGGAGGAATAACCTCTAATGTTCTAAATAGTACGGTAATACACTTTGGTTAACAACAATTGTACATTTCAAACCAGCTAGCAGAGAAGCTAAACCCAGGCCAACATTCTAACCCTGAACACCATCTACAGTCCTACACGGAAATTTTTTTTTGAACAAGGTTTCACTATGTGTCCCAAGCTAAATTCACTATGTAGTCCAGTCTGACCTTGAATTCAGTGATCATCTTGCCTGGGGCTTCTTAATGCTGGATTATAGGTATACACCACCACACTTGACAGGACTCTGAAGGTTCCCAACAGAAGGAAATGACAAACACTGCAGTGATACACCAATCATCCCGATCTGAACATTGTATACCTATGCTGCACTAACACACTGCTCCTTACAAACATGCACTTACTGTGTGTCAACTAAAGTAAAATTAAATAAAAAGTCAAAAAAGACAAAAAAATCGCAAACACACACAAAGGAGACAAAGTATAATAGGTCTCCATATACTTAGTGCTCATCTTCAAAGACCAATGTCATGCCAGTGTTGCCTATCATCCCACTTTAACACTACGTACTTTAAAGCAATCACAAATGTACTATTTTACCTGATAAGTACTTAACGCATTTTACCCATTAATACTTCAAAAGATAAGGACATCTATTGAAGGGAGGGTACTGTTATTATCATTGTTTTATTTTGTTTTGTTTTAGAGACAGAATCTCACCATGTAGCCCAGCCTGTCCTAGAACTTTTGATCCTCCAGACTTAGCCCCCCGAGTGCTGGGATTGTAATCCCAGGTTATGTTCTACCATGCTGGCTAAAAATGACTTTTAAAAACATGTCAGTCAGGCATGGTGGGGCATGCCTGTAATTCCAGCACTTGGAAGACCAGTATGAGTTAAGATCAGTATGAGTTTGAGGCCAGGCTGAGCTACATAGTGAGACCCTGGCTCAAACTAATTAGATAATTAAATTTTTATTTATTTTTATTTTTGGTACAGAGAATCAAACTCATAACCTCATGCTTGCCAGGCAGGTGCTATGCCTCTGAGCTATACCCCCAGTAGTAATTAAATTTTTAATACATACCTATGATACCATTTTATAATAATCAGCAATGTTAACAATTAAACAAGTTTTAATCCCTTTTTTTCCCTTGTACTTCTAGAAATCAAATCTAAGGCCTCAATAGGCTAGACAGGCACCCTATTACTAAACTATTACCTCTAGCATCAATAATCCTTTAATGTCATCTAGCACAGTGATGGAAAACTTTTTAGAGACTGAGTGCCCAAACTGCAACACAAAACCCACTTCTTTATCACAAAGTCCAATACTGTAATTAAACCTGTATAGTAGGGTTTTAGTTTAGAAAAAACAGTAACTCATACATTGACATCTTTTGTCTTAAAAGAAAAATAACACCCATACCACAGGTTTGCCACCACTGATCTAGCACCTGGTCTGTATTCAAATTTCCCTGATTTAAAATTCTCAGTTTAGGGGCTGGGGATTTAGCTCAGCGGCATAAGCACATGCCTTGCAAGCACATGGTCGTGAGTTCGATCCCCGGTACCGATTTAAAAAAAATAATAATAAAATAAAATAAAATTCTCAGTTTAGGGCCAGGGATTTAGCTCAGCAGTTCAAGCACTTGTTTGGTAAGCACAAGGTTGTGAGTTCAACCCCCCGGTACCAGAAAGAAGTCTCAATTTAACTTTTCTGGATGTGTCACAATGGCATGTCATAGTCAAATAGGTAGCACTTTAAAAAATTAACTTTATATAAAATAATGGTGTATCAACAATCAGCTAACCCTTAGATTTGGTAAACTGTAATGTACAATATAACTGTTAGGTATTTGTACCTGCTCACCCACAAGACACACATCATACTCCATACCAATTCCAAGCTCTTCAGATGGTAAAGGTTATTTAACATCTTTCTGCCAGCTTGAACCACCAGAGGTACATGTATAATCTTGATGGACATGGTAGTTCAGAGCTGCCTGGCAATGACAAACAGAATTACAGCCCTAACACGAACAAGTTAAGTCTTTCCACAATCTCGTGAGGTGTACTATTAATATGCCCAACTCACGTATGAGAAATTAAGGCAAGGTGAAGATATGCAAGTCATGTGGCCACTAATAAGTTGCCTGTAATCTGAATTTTGTTTCAGTATTTGACATGAAATCCATGGAGTACAGAGCCACAAACCTCAGCCTTTTTATAAAACTTTGAAATAGGGTCTAAGTTACCCAGGTGGGCCTCAAACCTGTGATGCTCTTGTCTCAACCTTAGAATACCTAAGATACAAGTTTCTGCCACCATGCTCACACAGCTATACCCAGAATCTGAACTCCCTGACTCTGGAGCCTACACTGGAATCCAACAACAGGGATGTCTAGTCCTCGGAAGCAAACCTATCTCCCCAAGTTTTTTGTTTTTTTTTTTTTGAGACGGGGTCTCGCTATGCAGTCCTGGTTGGCCTTGAGCTCACTTTGTAGCCCAGGCTGCTCTCAAACTCGCCAACAATCCTCCCACCTCAGCCTCCCGAGGGCTGGATTACAGGCGTGAGTCACTGTGCCCCAGCTTCTCCCCAATTTTTTTTTTCTTTCTCAAAGCACTTAATCTCCCCAATTCTTTTAAAAGAAAAAATAACAGTAAAACAGTTTCAAAACAGGATAGTTGGACAGTAACAATAATCAACACATTGCAAATTGTTAATTCACAGCAGTTGTTCAGAATACAAGATATAGACATGAAACATTGTCTAGAAAATTACTAGCATAAAACTTTCCCCTCAATGAACCAAAAGAAACCAGCTGTATCTTAACTGTCTTGTGTTTTGGAGGGTTTTGTTTTTGTTTTTTTTACTTTTTAGTTTTTAAGAAAAGGTTTTGCTAGGAGTTCAAACTGGTCCTGAACTCTATGTAGCTGAGGCTGGCCTCCAAATTGTGGTGATTCTGTTTCTCATGTGCTGAATTACTAGCACACAGCCCCTTACTCAGCTATTTTTGGCTTTGAGACAAGGTCTCACTATGTGGCTCAGTCTGGTCTTGAACTCGCCATATAACTTCAGTCTGACTTCAATCCTGTAATTCCCCTGCCTCAGCATCCCACACACTGGGATTAAAGGGATGCACCACTGCACCCAGCTATGGATTTGCTCTTTTTGGTTTTTGAGACAGGGTCTCTCTATATATAGTCCAGGCCAGTTAATTATGTAGCGCAGGCTGGCCTTAAATTTACCATCCTGCCTCAGCCTCCAGAGTACTGGGACTACAGGAATGAGCCATCATGCCTAGCATAATTTACTTTTAAACTCATGTTTTTAACATTTAAAATTATACCAAGTTCTTGAATCTCTTTAAAGTCCATTTAAATTGTTCAATTTTCATGATTTTTTCAGTGCTATAGGTCAAATGGGGGAGGAGCAAACCAAGGGGTTTGTACATGCTAAGCAAGGGGTCTACCACTGAGATATATCTCTAGCCCCAGATGAAGTTTCATTTATGTAAAGTTCACATATAAATTTCTTCAACACTCATCAGTTTTCTTTTTCTTTTACAAGGCTACACTGGAGTAAGATAAGCTATCAAGAAAGGAATAACATTCTCTGGCGGCAACAGATACAGTGTTGCAAGAGGTGTACAGAACTTTGCTAAATAAAGGTTAACACAAACCATATCAACATAACATAAGGGCAAACCTGCATGAAATGGCAAGAGGAAATTCTAAAGTCAAGTCCAACTCTAAAGTAGAGTCCATAAAGATCTTCTGAGATCACATTGATTATTTTGTTTGTTTGCTTCGGTACTGAAAATTGTACTCAGGACTTTGCATTTGCCAGGCAGGTGCTTACAACTAGGTTATTAAGAAAACTGCAAAGACGGGGCTGGGGATTTAGCTCAATGGCATAAGCACCTGCCTTGCAAGCAGGTGGTCGTGAGTTCGATCCCAAAAGGTGGGTGTGGTGCTGCACATGTAATGGAGAGGCTGAGGCAGGAAGATAGTTTCAAGTTCAAGACCATCCTGGGCTACAAAGTGAGCTCAAGGCCAGCCTGAACTGTACAGCGAGACCCTGTTTCAAAAAGACAAAAAAAAAAGTCATTCACACTGGCATTTATAGAATGGTCTCTGAATGAATGGTGCGATAGTATGGCACTCTGCAAAAAGGGGACAAGTTGCTGGCCTTGGCAGCAACTTAATCTAAAAAAATCATTGAGCATTGGACTAGGGATTTGGCTCAATGATAGGGCACTTGTGAAGACCCTAGGTTTGATCCCCAGCATGGCAAAGAGTAAAATAAAAAATGAGAAAAGCATATTATGATATAAATGAGCATAAGACCAACACAGTCTTAAAGGAAGAACACTGACACTGGTAAAAGGAAAATGATATTATTCTAGAATAAAGTGTTACCAGAAAAAAATAAAGAAAGTTAGCTTGATGAGGGCCTAAACCCTTGCCACTTACAGTCTCATCTCAGAGGGGTGTGAGTCATCGTCCTCTCCCATTATAATGATGCCTTTGAGCTTGACATTGCCTGTAAATCTGCCAGAACCAAAGAGAAGATTGTGAACTTGAGGTTAAATCGCTAAACTGGTGTGACCTTCAGCAAAACCATTCCCCTTTCTGAGCTTCGCTTTATTCACTTGTCAGACTTCTACTAGACAACTTCTAAGACCCTGCTAGTTCTGGCATTCTGTAATTCTAAGAAATTTACCTCACCTTCTCATTGTTCAACAAATATATCTGTTTCCAGCCTGCTCCAGAAAAACCAATGATGCTTTTCTCCTCAAACCCACCAAAGTAATTTACCCCATTTCTAGAAAGAGATGTGTGTTCTTGACACAACAAATGAATGAATCCAGAGGAAGCAACCAGTTACAGCCTGTTTAGTCTGAGGCAGACACCAAAGAGATACTTACGGAATATTAAACAGAAGCTCTTCATCTGCATCACTTTCAACAAACTGGAGGGGATGGGGAGGAGGGAGGAGAAAGCAACAAATATTTGCTGAGAGCCTACAATTTCAGGCATCCCCCACCCTGTTCTATAAGCAGGGGTGCAACACAAATGAGGTAACCTTCCTCGAGTTTTGCAGGATTTAGTAACTTGAAGCTAACTGCTCATAACTTCTCGGCCTTTCGGCTAGGTTCAAGTGAAGCTAATTGATCTTATTCTAATATCCATAGTGCATCCTGTGAGTTCCTATGGGGGGGAGATGATGTGTATTTTTCTGGGGAGAGGGCCCCAAGCTTTCAGATGGCTCTCAAGAGGGCACTGTGCTCTAAACGGGAAACACCCATCATCTTCCTAGGGAGAGCTTTACCAGGTGATTTGATCAGGCAGGCACCGAGACCCACAATGAAAAGTCAGGGAAAACACCCTTAAAACCAAGCTCTCTCACAGCCCACACACTCTGTGACGGAGCCTTAAGCTGTGTGAAGCCAAAGCGCCCACTTTTCCTCTTCGGGTCCGTTTCCCTAGGTGCAAAATGAGGAGACTGGACCCTGCTGGCTCCTCAAAGGCTGACAGGAGACTACAAGAAAGCGCCTGGCGACCGTGCTATAGTCCTTTTCCACCTCAGGAGCGCGGCTGACCCCGGCGGCCCACCTTGGAGCGGTCGGTCCGCTCCTCCCACGGTTTGAAGACGCCGCGGCCGCTGCCCTCGCGGCTCTCGTTGAGGCACTGCAGCCGCTCCAGGTCGATGCGCAGGTACAGGCCATAAGCCAGGCCGCGCTGCTCTGGCGGCTCCTCTCGTTCGGCTGCACAGCGACAACCGCCCCCGCCGTGGCTGTGCCCGTGCGACATGGCGACGCCGCCACACGAGTATGTGGCTCTGGCACAGGACAGCCGCGACGCGTCCACCCGCTCCGGCCGCCAAGCGCCGCGTCCGCCGCGTCGTAAAAGGCGCCCGCGCGTGACGCATGCGCCAAGGGAGAAGGGGGCGGGGCCCTGGATCGACGTTTGACAGACGCCTTCCGGGGTTGACTCTTTCGGTGCTGGAAGTGAATGCGCTCACTCGCTTATCTTCACGGACGGAGAAATTGAAGGATAGAATGATGCAGCGGATGTTCAGAGCAGATGGTAGGGCCGGGGTTAGACTCCTTCTGTCCTAAGCTAAAGTCTGCGCTCCCTTCTTTAGCCACCACGGTTCTTTGAAGCTGCGGAGTGATAAGGCCCTGCAGACTAAAAAACATCGTGTTATCACAGCATGACTCACTTTGCTAGCAACTTTCTTGACCGGTCCGGTCCGATGAGCCGCTAGATCTGGAAACAGATGCAGGGTCAGCTGCTGACGGTTTGAGGCTGTGAATAAGTCATTTCCCTGGTTCTCCTCGCCTGTAACTGGGAAGAATATTTTCAGTTGCATAGGATCGCAGTGAGTACTGTGTTAAATGAATGTGATTCAGGAACCCAACGTGGTGGCGCATGCCTATAATCCCAGAACGGGGGAGGGGGGGGGGAGGCAGGAGTTCAAGGCTAGCCTGGGCTACAAAGTGAGTTTACACTAGTCAGAACTGCACAGCAAAAACCTGCTCCAGAAAGACAACAAACAAACACAAAGGTCGACAAGAGGTAGGCGTTCAATGGCTGTCGAATTATTATTGTCAAATCCAAGCAGTGTCAGCTCTACCGGTGTTGAGCAAGTGATTTAACCTCCTTGAAGTTTAATTTACCCCCTGTAAAGTGAAGGATTTGAACTAGGTGATCTTTAAACTGCTTCTCCTGTATGGATATTTTGGAACAGTTCTTTTAAATGGCTAGTTGTGACCCAGTAGAAGGTCTTAAAATCCATTTTAAAATCCATTTTAGTAGATTGTGGCCACATTTAAAAGAATAAAATAGAGTGCAATAAAAAATCAAAATGTATCACACATAAAGTTGCAAGGAAAGTAATTTTGTTTCCTTTTGGGGTTTGTGTACTCAGACTCAACAAAAAATGTTTCATTTTGTGGGTTAAGGTCAAAAGAATTGAAAGCCAGTCTTTAGAGCTGAAATAATTTTGTTTTCAGAGTGGGATATTTATTTACCCCTTTGATAGGGAGGAAAGGTCCCCAGGACTTCACAGAGGGCCCAGGCAAGACTGGTGAAATACAAATCAAACTATTATCTGTTCAAGTTCATTCATAAATATTTTGATGTCCTACTTCAATTATCTGTGAAATAAGCAAGTTTTAGTTCAAAACAGTTCAGTGTCATCAATTAGTCCTCCTTTCACATTGCAGACTCAGGCACAGGGCTTGGCATGGAATACACAGTAAATGTTTGTGTAACTGAATCTTACTCTCAGTAGCTTTCCTTGGAAATAGTAAGTCCTACTGAAGGGCCAATACAGGCCTTAGCCAGGACATCTACTCACTATGACATGTTTCCTGTTACCTCCCTCACTGTCATTGTTTTTCTTTCTTTCTTTCTTTCTTTCTTTCTTTCTTTCTTTTTTTTTTTTCTTGAGACAGGATCTCACTATAGTTCAGGCTGGCCTCTAATTTGCAGCAGTCCTCCTGCCTCTGCTTCCCAAGTGCTGGGATTATGTGAATGCAACACCACACCTTGCTCACTGTCATTTTTTTTTCTGTCTTTTTGAGACAGGGTCTCGCTATGCAGTTCAGGCTGGCATTGAGCTCACTTTGTAGCCCAAGCTGGTCTCGAACTCACAACAATCCTCCTGCCTCAGCCTCCCGAGTGCTGGGATTACAGGCGTGAGCCACCACGCCCAGCTGCTCACTGTCATCTTTAATGATGTGTGGAGCTCTGTGTGCCATACATAGCACCCAGCATTGTGCTAAGTAGGTTATGTAGTTCATCTAAGTTACTTGTCCCTTGACTTGAGATAGGTACTGTAACAGTGTTATCTCCAGTTAAAAGACGATGAAAAGTGAGGCTTAGAAAAGGTGAATTAACCTGCAAAGGCTAAAGCTAGAAATAACCTGGCTTTGAACTCAACTCGTAGTATTCCTGAAACATATCTTCTCAGTTTTCAGGAGAAAATGGGAACATTTCAAAGTAATTATATTGTAGCAATTAGCTAATGCCACATAATAACCATTGTAAAACAATTGATTTAAACAACAATATTTATTTACTTTTTTTTTTTTGATACTGGAGATTGAACTCACAACCCATGCTTGCCAGGCAGGTGCTTGTACCACTAAGCTAAACCTTCAGCCCTTATTTACTATTTTTCATGATTCTATAAATTAGCAGTTCTCTTGTGGACCAGTTTGGCATAAGTTGGAAGTTTGGAGTACCCTCGCATGTCTCTGTGATATTGGTCATCATGCAGGGTGTTGGGGCCACGCATCTCCAGCAGACTAGCAAAGCTTAATTCCAAGATGAAAGTCCCTGAGTTCCCAGGAGCAAGAGAGGACAAGACCCAATTGCATAAACACTTTCTCATCCTCTGATTCTATAATTTTTCTTTCTTTCTTTTTTATGTGAAGCAGAAGCTTTCTTAGTTATCTTTTTTGCAGTTCTGGGACTCAAATACAGAGCCTCGGACGTGGTGGGCAAAGACAAGTGCTATGTCAGAGCCGTGCACCATTCCTGAGGCTCTCGCTTTTAGACTGTGGAATCACTACCATCGTAAATAGGAATATGTTTCAAGTTGTCCTGGCCACTGTAATGAGGTTGGAAGAGGCACAGAAAGCTTAGACATTTCTCCTTTTCATAGGGCTTGTTTGCTTTAAAATCACTTCAATATTTTTGTTAAAGGTATCCCATGGATAATGTGTTCAGTGTTTGTTCTAATGTTTTCATCTGCTCATGGGAAAGGCAGAAGATGCCACCGTAGGTCTTGCCAGTCACTAACTTCCTTCTCAAGGACATGCTCCGTGATAATACATAGTCACTAGTCACAATAAGGACCATCTTCCAGAAAGGCTTTGCTAGTTTCTGTATTTATAGGATTGCAAAGGTAACATTTAAGCACATATTCAGGCCTTTCCACATTGAATAAAAAGCCCCCCCACACACACGTGTTTGTGACCTATGACGTAATTAATGACTGGAGGCATACCCACGTTCACTACATTCCTGAGGTTTCTATCTGCTCCTGAGGGTGGACATCTGGTCCCTGGCTGTCCCACAGGGACCACATTCCTATTTGCTAGCAGCCCACTGATACTTGACGTCTTCAGGATCACAGAAGGTATTTACACAGCTATATTGGCGGGTTTCTTCCTTGCAAGTTTATTACTGCCTAATAAAGTGTGACTGTAGAATTTTCTACCTTCGTGCATCTCTGCATGTCCCCCTACTGTGTTCTCTTACGTTTCACAAGGCAAAACACGGAGAAGGAGCTCTTCTGTATGAGTTCTATGGTGGGTAATGAGCTTTGGCTTTGTAATGAAGGCTTTCCTACAGTCACTGCATTTATAGGGTTTTCTTTTTTTTTTTTTTTTTTTTTTGTCTTTTTCATTTTTATCGGTACCGGGGATCAAACTCACGACTGCCTGCTTGCAAGGCAGGTGCTTATGCCACTGAGCTAAATCCCCAGCCCCATTTATAGGGTTTTCTTCAGAGTCATCTCTCTGACCTGTGAATAGGATTGTCCACACACAGTACATGGAAAAGGCATCTTTGCTGAGAGTATCTCTCATGAGCTCTGAGACAGACCTGGATGAAGGCTTTGGCATAGTCGGTACATTCATTGGGTTTCTCTCCTGTGTGAGTTCCTTGATGCATCACAAGACTATTCTGAATGAACCCTTTTCTGCTTCATTACATGTATGAATTCACATATGCACAGTGAGCAGTGATTTCCTGGCAAAATGTTTCCCACATTCAGGGCACACATGCGTCTTCCGGTGAATTGACAACTGTAACACCCAGATTAACTAAATCAGTGAGGTGCTGGCTGTGGAAGGCACCCCTGAGCACTATTGCTGACAACATAAAAGGGAAAACTGAAGAGGAAGAGGTGGCACAGTTGATTCTCCTGGAGGAACTGGTCATGCTGGCTTCCTGATATGAACACGGTTGTTCAGTCATCTGAAGAGCTTGGGACCTCATTGTCATTAGGATAGCCATGGTACTTTTGGGGGAGCTCTGGCCCTTCCTTTGAGCATCGCTTCATGGCTCCAGTGCCGATCCCTCAGATTGTTGGCACAGATCCTTCCTCCTGCTGGCGTAGACTTTTTAGCTTCTACTGCTAGCTTTTGGGTCTTCCCAGTGGAGATCATTGATATGGACTTGTATGAGATATTGTCATGGACTCCTGGCCTCCAGCTGGACTTGTGAAGGACTTTCGCATGTGACCCAAGCCCTCAGCTAGGTTCTTTAGGTCTCTAGTATGTGGACAGACTTCCTGCACTCTTTTGTATGTGACTACTTTGAGTGACTATTATAGGATTATATTATAATAATCCTATAAGTTATGTGTCCTGTATTAAATTGTTTCTCTTACAAACCCTGACTATAACAAACCTGATACCAAAAATAAGTGGGGTCATTGCTGTGACTATACCTGTCTGTGCAGTTCAAGAACCTTTGGGAAAGAATGACTTATGGGAAGAGTTTGGAAAAATTCTGAGATGCTGCCTTAAAGAATAGAGCTGGAATGTCTTGGGCTGTTCGGTATGGGAGATTCTGGTTAGAACTCAGAAAGGTGATAGAAATCCTGCCAGTAAAGATCAGGCTCAGGAGATTTCTGCTGGGAAGAAGGACTGCATTGGGTGTTGGGCTCTAGATGACATATGTTATGGATTGGTAGAAAGTTCATCTGCATTTTGCTCTTGTCCAGAGATTTTGCCTGAGACTGAATTTAAGGGCAGCAAACTAATTAATCTGGCAGGAGAAATTTTAAGGCAATTGAATGTTGAGGCTGTGACATGGCTATTATTGGGGACTTTTAGCCAGATGTATGTGGAGAATCAAGAGCAAAGAGCCCAGCAGGATGATTTAAAATGTTGTGAGTTTGGGGAGAAAGGAAGCTCCAGTAGAGCTGTGCACTACAAAGATAAAGCTCAGGAGATCTCAACTGCTGAGGAGAAATGGGAGAATAGAAAGATGGCTGGAGAGCACCACAAGATGCTGCGTGTCTCCACCCTTTGCAGCCTCAAAACTGCAAAAACAAAAGACTTTGATATGAAGAAAAAACTGCAGAGCACCATGTTCCCAAATGGCAGTAGCATAGAGAATTTGTTCCTCAGAATCAGGTTCAGAGTGCCTAGTGATTCAGGCACTGGACTCTTACAGCCAAGAGAGAGGAAAGCCTGGCTACTGCTCCAGTTGGCAGCAGACCTTGGCATCATTCATGTGGCGCTGGTTTTAGGTACATGCAGTGTGTGAGAGTTCTAAGGTTAAGAAGGCTTCCATCCAGATTTCAGAAGAAGGCCTAGCAGCCCAAGTAGTAAGCTGCTGAGAGGGTGTGAGTGTGAAACCAACGGTGCAGTGGAGATCCCAGAAGTTTGGAGAAGCCAGGAATACGGATGATCTGAGGGAATCTGCAGGGAGGGAACAAAGCAGGCGCAAGAGAGAAGCTGTGGGAGCTACAGCTACCAGCACTGCCTTAGTGGCAGAGCAGTGTGAACTCTTTGGAGCTCACAACTTGCCACAGATTGCTTTGGATATTCCAC